CCAGGTAGCGCTTTTGTCACGTGCAACTTGTCACGTTCTTTTCTAATAACCTACTTCTTACTTCTTATATCTCTTCATTAATTTTATTACTCTTTTACAATATTAAAGTATTAACATTGCTATGTTTTATTGTCATAAACATGCTATTATATTTATATTTGTTGTTGTGAATGCTCTGTGTATGCAAAATCTGAATCAATTTCCTGTTCTGTTCTGTTCTACGATTTGCAATTTTCATCAGTTTTATCATATTTAAAAGATTCAGATATAAAGAATATAATGATTTATATATTCGTCAAACGTTTTTTCTTTAATGTTAAGCTTCGCACATCTTTTATTTGTTTTTTGCCATAAAGCATAATTATACTAACAATATTATTATAAGCTGTTTAATCTAAATGTACTTCCTCATTTCAAAAAGACTGATATTAATGTGTTTAAGGTTCCGGGACATAGAGAATAGTTTCATGTTTAAGCTCTATATTTCATGTCGCCAGTCTATGATGATGGCCTCTAGCGGACTTTTAAACTCTAATCTGTTATTTACCTTTCTTTCTTCTCCAAGCCATTCAAAGTATCAATTTAGCAAATATACTGTTATTATAGTTTGCATGGATAAACATTGTCAACCCGATATCTTGATGAAAGTTAGGGATACTTTAATTTGATAATATATACGTTACAAAATGTTCGCATACCAACCTCTGAAATTACCTTGTAATCTTATAGGAAAATGTCTGTCAATTATGAATAATTATGGATAAATCATGCATAAATACACAATGCATGGAGTGGACTTGGGATAGTTTAAATTGACTTTTGAACTTCATCTCTTTTGAAATAGCCACAGAATACAAGGATATTTTATACATCAATGGAAGATATTATCATTCGAATGTTTAAAGTCGTTTTTTTAAATTAACTTAGGAGATTAAAACAGATAGACTAAAAGTTGATTAGACCTTAGCGTTCTAGCATTCTGCTAGTTATAATTTGTACGTTGGTCACTCTCCTAAACTCTCGGAACTTTATAATGATGTAACCACATCCATTTGTTTTAATAAGAAAATTAGAAATCTTAATGACATGTTTTTAAATGATTCCATGAGAACTACTATGTATACAGGCCGTATGAATAACTCCTATATGATTTGCTACAAGCTTCCCTATATATATTATTATGAAAACGTTTCATAGCAACAAAGAAATTCATCTTACTTCAACAATGTATGAACGTGTCTCTATTTTAACAATGCACAGTATATCTGAACTCTTTGATACATTAAATACAAAAAACTGAGTGTGTCCCAAAAGATCGAAATAAAGTAAATAATGCACAGGCAATGCGAAATTAAAGTATAATCGATAATAAATACATGTACATGTAACTGTTATATGCGTTGTTTTTCTTTTTTCCGTTAGTTTGAATCAAATCAAAGCCGTAAAGTTATGTTTGACTATATTAAAGCATTGAAATCAAAGGAGATGAACTTTTTGAATCACAGGCGATACTGAAGAGCATTAAAAGCATAAGATTATGAAAGTATAGAAAAACAAATGACAAGCATAAATGATTAAAACCGAAACATGGTCTAGAATAAAGGAACTAAAATGAACCTCTTTTTATTATTTTATCAACCATAGTTTTGTCCTATTGGAGAAGGTATGTCAATGCTCCATTGTAATTCTTTGTTTTTGAAAAGTAAATCAACAGGTGCGTTTGATGATAAAATTTTAAAATAGACATAAATTCCACATCATCTTTAATCCAAGATTCCGAATTACTTTCACAGTGAAATTTTACCATGGTGTCACTGTCGCAAAGTGGGGATCTATCCAGCTGTGATATCCCGTAGTCTTTGATGCAGCTTTATGTTGATAGGTCATCAATTATAGAATTAAAGGGATTATGATGGAATTAAGATAATAAATGCTTCAAATAGATACAATAGGGTCATACTAGATAATACAGACATAGCCTTCATGTCCTGTGGTTAAGTAACGACATTCGTTGAATTTTAATTCAATATTACAATACGATTATGCTAATACTGCTCTTAACTTATTCCTTATGCAACGACGTTCTTTTGTGAGATATTTTGATAACTTATTGCTCGTGCCCGTGGATCAAACTGTTCAAAGCGCTTACATCCCCTAATCTATACCGAAGATATTCAAATGTTGTTACAATGATAGGTACGTCATTCTCATTCATATATCTACAACATTTGCCATATGTTGTTACTGTTGACCTTAAAGTATTGCGTTTGATCTCTCAAAGTCCATTGTGACAATGGTGTTTATTGTATACTGGTTGTATGGCATTTAATGTTTGATCTCTGATATGTACCGTGTCGCTCATTTTGCAAACCTGATATCTCCTTGTTGAAATAAGCTTGAAGTAAAACAATTTTCTAGAAGTCACGGAACACAAACCGTTTTAGTTTAAGATTATAGCCTGGTTTACTGTTTGTGTATCAAATTGTAGTGTTTGTAATAATATTTCTTAACGGATGGCGTCATGAAAAAAAAGCAATTATGAAACACTGAAACACATCTAAAAGGCACTTAAAACGTGGCTGACATATATGCTGATATGTCATAAGTGCTTTTAACATTGGTCTGTCATTGCATGCAATAAATTGAATTTAACGAACTTTCATTTTAACTTGACTGAGTTTATTATCAAAAACGGTATTATATTTTAAACAGTGGTCTTTGTAACTATAACACAAGCTTATACAAATGTCCTGTACTGGTATGATATGTTTTTTTAACCATTGACGCCAAAGATTCATAGGATAAGTCTGCAGTCTGTAAAGCATGCTATATTGACGAGATAATAACATATCTGATGTACAATGACGACGATATAGAAAGTGATAGTCAAGGCAATGACTATGTTACATTCTATTGTAACCAATGCCCTCTACCGTCACGCAATCATATCTGTACGCCCTTGTCATTATAAATGTTAAAGCTTTTCTTGTCTAAAGCATAAGTCTTTGATCTATTTCACCTAAAATAAATATCAATTTTTAACAGGCTTATTCATTCAGTATTTGAGTAGTCAATACATCACACGTCAAAAATAATTTCTGAAACCTTTTTTCATCTTTTGAAAATAAAGCTGCATAATCATCATGAAAAGTTGTGAATTGTCAGGGTAAATATTTGAACGAAATTTAGTCCGACAATGTATTAATGAAACTTTCACAAATAGTCTGTTCGCTCGTTATAGAGAAATGACACATTTATATTTAGTTAATGGAAATGCCATTGTAAATGTCGAAGAAAAAAAAACGCTGTTAAATTAATTTTTAAAAGATATCGTCTGCACGTGTAAATGATTTGTTGTATGCTTTTGGGCATACTAACGAATGATAAATGGACGCTTTGTGTTTTGTGTTAGATCCTGAAGAAAAAAACCTATAGAGCCATAAGTTGAAAATGGCAAAGAGCGACAAGGAATCGCCCATTCTTCATGTTACACACTACTACATAGTCGTGCAAATCGTTTACTTGATAGATGTAGTCTAATTTTATTCACCCTTTGCCAAAAAGAGACAGATAAGGCGTACGCTTATGCTTATGTTAAGATGTAATTATTATGGTTATGTAAACATGTATGAGTACTGCTTATGTAAACATGTAAAGAATAATGCTTACGTAAACAGGTAAAGGATTTGCTTAATTGCTTTGCTTGCGTAGAAAGTATTATATAATAAATGATTTGTCAAAGCGTTTATGCAATGACTCATTTAAATGTAATATTTGCATATTTGCATAATTTCAAGTGGGTATTTTATAAAGACGTGTAAATAACATTAAAATTTTCATTATGACTTAAATGCAAATAAATAATAGAATTGTATTTCAGTAATATATCAATATCTAGCAACCACATGCACCTGGTATCTCAAATTAACAAATCGATGTCATTTAAAAGTGACAACAAAATATGTCTGTATTGCCTGTTGCATGCACCATTACACACACCCAGACACTAATATGACATGGAGAGACAGTGCTACGATTGAATGACTGTGCAAGCCCTAATAAAATAGATCAATATTCAAAAATCGTTTCGGTGATAAAACATCACTGAAGCAACAAAAACGTGCAAACTTAACGCATACTAAATAAATGTAGAATATAGAAAATAACAAGGTTTGCCGTATATTCATAAGTCATTTGGTAAAAGTTATAACTATTTAGCCATACAATGTTAACACACACGTTTGCTTGAACTGTTCTAATATGGGTAATGCTTTGCACATTCTCAGTCTAAAATTTCTATCAAATATGGAACAAATATGGAACGAGTACTATCAAACTATGCACCTTTTCGGGGGCATAAAATAAGCGCAATGGGAGTAAATAAGTGCATCTCTATTACTACCTAATTTGTATCGAGTTCTTATCTGCTTTCATGCACGACATAATAACCGAAATTTCCCAGTTTATGATTGCATCGACAGACTGCAACTTATCAAAACCATCAAATTTTGCACGGGTATCTATTATCAAGAATGTGTGGCGTTGAATCGAGCATGACTGGACATATTGAGATAGTTACGTCAATCCCGATATCATCTCTACTTTTTTCATGTATTCCGACCATTGCAAACATGAATTAACGCTCCTTTCAAAATTAAATAAATATCAAAACCACAATCACAAAGTCATTGTAAATGAAATTCAAGTTTAGCTGTTAAGCGATACAAGACCCAGCTAACTGTTCGCAAATCTTTCTTCTCGTTGTATGAGAAATTAGAAGACCATGGTCGCCTATTGTGCAGTATTTGCAATGCAAATATTGTTGACGTCTTAGGTTTCAGCTATTTACTCCGCCGATTTCTCAACGATTGAATAAAATCTTAGTTTTATATACGAGGATGTAAAACCGTGTAAATATGTACTTTTAACATATGGAGCATAACTAGCGGTAGAAATGTAATTACGGGTATTTCACATTTTACATTAGTGTTTGTCAATGTTTATCTTTCGTTTGTCAAAATATTGGCTATTAAATAATAATTTGTTACAGTTAGGAAATACTGCTTCTTAAGGCAATATAACGATATAAATAGATTATGACTTTTATAGTAGAGACTAGCGTGTGAAAAGTGATAGAACTTTAAAGATAAAATTGATTTAGGATATTGTGAGTTAACGTGGTATGTGGGTAAAAGTTTAAGTAATGTATAAGTGAAGAAATTCTATCTTAAATTTAGGTTTAGACTTGGGAGCAAGTAATTTGATTCATTATAATTTCATGCTACACTTGATTTAAAACATGCAACCAAACACAGATGTTGTTATAACAAAAACTGGTTAAAAATTTGCCATTCTATTTTTTTCAGATTTATATACATGAGGTCGGATATTTTCTACACTATACTTCAGTGTCGTGAGATAAAATTGCGGAGTAAAGATCCCAGATCCCAACAAAAAGCTCGTAAATCGGATGTGTAAACAAAGACAGAGGAGATGGTTATTAATTATCTATAAAATCTTCAAAGGCAGTCGTGTTCGCTAGTGCATTTGAATGAAGATTTCGCCGAACAAAAGACTAATATCTTTGAAACAACAAGAGGTTTAAGGCAGGCCTGGGCGGACATTGTTGATGTATTGTTTGATAACGTTGAAGACAGAGATAAGGCTATTCAACTTACTGATCACGATCTACACGGCAATATTTTCAACTAAACATAAAGTAAACAATAAACAATATTTCAGAACAAGTCTCGGAGCCGAGTCAATTAGACACAACCCGATTATTGATAACATTCGACTGAAAAGTAAAGGAAATGGATTTTTACAATTCACATGGTATTATAACTAAGTCAATAGGGTGAAATGAATATAGTTGTTCGGCATTATATTTAACCGGAGTGACCTGTTTATTATCAATATATAATATACAAGTGTTTCTTTAAAATCATGATCATAAAATCACTATATGGATTAGGTACATCTATTGCTTTACTTTCTTTGGCAGTTAATTACAAGATTTAATTGTTAGATGTGAAATCGATTTGCTACTGCGTGAAAGACAGCTATAACACTTTGCTGATTTTTGTGAGAAAATTATTAGGGTTATTCAGGTACCCTGGATATTAGATTACCATTCGGTCTCACGTCGCATAAATTATCTATTGAAACGAAAAGTTCAATAAATACACTGACATTGAACATCTATGTCAAATCTTCGCCTCAACTCTAATGAAGCCAATTTGTGTGTTCTAACTTCGGCGTGAGACATTAAAGACGACAAGTGGACCTCAACACCTACCACTTGACATGTTCTTATCCTTTTCATTAGCTCGCGGTTGTACACACAACTGATTCTCTTTAAAAGGCTCAAATTGATTTTCAAATATACACTTCTCAAACGGAACACAATTGGAAGCGTATGATAAAACAGATTTTGAGGAAATTGATTTATCCGTTGCATGGAAACAAAGACACAAATATTTTGTGAAGATTATATTCAAGATATGTTAACCAAACGGGAAAAGTAATAACCTCTCGGTTGTTTATTTATTAACGAATCTTGCACTATTTTGCATGTGTTATATAAGCAATGCGTGATAATCAATTTTTGATTTTTTGAGCGACAAAATATTCAAAAGTAAGAACCGTGAAGGTCACACGAAATATTGAAATTGGGATCTGTGGATATGTGTTTATGTACAATTTTTAACATTAGGCAAGTATTAAATGTTCCTTATATATTGAGAAAATCTACTTAGATATTACACATTTATTAAATATGCGTGTATTGATAAACGGAAGACATTCGCGTACTTAAAACCCTGAAATTTGAAAGATAAGAGTAAAATTTGAATAATATCTAGTCTGATGTAACTAACATAACTTATCTGCAGTGTTAAAACTTTTCTTAAATAATCGGACCTAGATATGATAGACATGTCTATGTCATATTTCATGTGATAAGCGAAATATATCAAAGCAGTTCAATATAGATAATTGAACAATTAAGAGATATACTTTACTTCAATGTGAAGATTATAATTCAAGGATTGTTAGATCTATATGCAAGCAATGGCTTGAAATAAAATTGAAAAATTCAGACATATTTCTAAAAGTCAGTGATAGCATTAATCCATATAAAACGTAATAGAAATAGTAAGTCAGTGGTAGGATTAATCCATGCGGATTATCTGAGCGGATATATAACGCTCGACTCGGGAACGACATTGTGTACGTATGTAAATGAAATAAAACAGCCATGATGTTCCGAGTTAAGTGATTTTAATATCCCATGTTTAGGATTACTGAAGTGTAGTGATTGAAGGGCAGATAAAGAAGATTTGTTAATGGTAATGAAAACCACATAATGATAACGACAAGAATAGAATAAGGGGAGTTTACATGAAACTAAACGTTATATCTGCATAATTTGGAATATTATTGAAAAAAGTGGGTCTTATTTACAGGCTATAAGGAGTACGATTAGACACTGAAATTGGATTTCTATTGCGGAACACAAATAAACAGCATGGTATTTTTAACCGGAAGGTATAAATAACGACGGAGTTGACATAAACGCCTATTATACTACAATTAGTGTGGGCAATGAAAAGTTAGATAATCTGGACAAATCAATATTCGGATAGATAAACATTTACTTTTAATTGTAAAATTGTGTTGAATTATTTATATCAGACTGGATACCTCGGTGAATTTTACACCATTTTAACGTGTTTCCAGATAAACTGACGAGAATTGGATAATAAGGAAAGTTGTTAGATCGGCAATAAAAATGCAATTTTCTTGTCATTCACCTGACCATTATTGAATCGTATATATTGATTAAACCTGGTTTCTCCATTTAGATATAGAATAAGACAATTTGTACAGAACAGATTGTATCAAACACATCAAAGTCGACAGTTGTCAGGAAACAAAGAGAAACAAAAAAGACTATATTGGCTATAGACAAAGAGAAATATCAACAAACAAAGCTAGGCGCCCTTCACTGAATACTGGATACAAGTTTCATAAAGGTTACTGAGTGATTGTGGATTAATATTGAATTAATGAATCCTCATTTATGTCTTTACATAAACACCCTTGATTTCATACATTACTTTCATTCAGTAAACATTTATTGAACGGTGACATTACACTGGGACATCTAACACACATAAACCACGGATCAATTCAGCAAGAGCTATAACATGCATATCGTCATTTGTAAAACATAAAGAATGTACTTTGTCAATACAAGAAATGTTGAATAAAGATATGGATACAGTCAGCGTTCTCACCTGGAGCTTATAATGGAAAACAGTTCGTTTTAATAAAAGAAAGCGGCGTTCGGATTTGAGATGCGAAAAAAAACATGTGTGTTTCAGTACAAATCAAATAGCGAATTTATCCTTAATTCCGTGCGATGGGTACTGTTTATATGATAGTAGGTGCCGGATTATTTATGTTAGAGACTGTACTACAGTTGTGTGTAGTTGGAACACATAGCAAAGGTTCCGAGGCATTGTTTGTAGTGCTTCTAGCCATTGTGATGGGACCTTTAATACTGATAAACTTCGTGTCGGCCATACAAGTCACGAGGACACAAGATTTCACCGGGAAAAGTTTCGGTAGGGCGATATGCATAGTATTTCATTCCTTCCAACTTGGTACTGTGTGGCGAGCCTTAAAACTGCTGATTTTATTCGATCATAAAGACTGGCTGGATTATTTAAATATGAGACTATTTCACACAGGGTTTCAAAGTCTTCCATTTAGTATAGTTTTATCTTGTAGTATACTCATAAATGAAACAAAAGCAGCGCTGGATATTGTAACTATAGTTGTAACACTCATATCAGCTTCCATTTCATTGACTATATATAGAACAGGGAATGTTCTCTATGACGCAGGCGACACTGAAAATAGACCATTTTCTATAAAGAAACATGTTTGTATTGTGTTCTTGTCACTCAGCACATTTTCAGTATTGCTGTCTAGATATGCATCTATTGTTTTATTTGCTGTTGTTCAACCGTTATGGATTATATTGCCATTGTCTTTACATTATTTCATAAATCTTTGCATTGAAGTATGCAAATTTAAATGTTATGAAGATAATACTTTATATAAGGTAGCTATTGCTGTATATAAATCTTTTGTTAATATGTTTGACATGGTTGGGAGAGATTATACTGGTGTAAAGTGTTCCTATGTGTTGTTCTACAGTTTAATATTAATAGAAAATTTAGTGTTCAGTTCGTATTGGATGTTAACGTCATCGTTTGATGAGAGATTCAAACTTCTGGCTGTGCTTATGATACTAATGTGCTTCATTGTTGGATTAATTGTTAAATTCGCAAGTTGTGGGTGTATATTCAATATAGAATCAGATATTTTAAGTGATGCATTTAACAACCCGGAATTAAAAGATGAATTAAAAGACAAGTTTGACAAAGCTACTACAAATACTGTCGACCAGAGTGATACTGTGTTTCATGAAATTCGCCCTGAGGAAAGTGGACAAGGGCCTGGTATATCAGTGATTTCAAGAAGCGTAGAGACACCGGGTACTAGATCTAAGCATTCTAAACAAGGAAGTTCAAGCACGTCGTCAAACAGTCGTCTTAGAGAATATGATAACCATGCTTTTGTGACATCTCAGGGAAATATTTCATTACATTCACAAATGACTCTAAACAGTACAAAACGATCTCAAGGCAGTGATAACAAACATTCTTCTGATGGTGCTGATATTTCATGTGAATTTAGAACTTTATCAGGCAGCAGCCAAGATAGATCATATAGTAGTAAGAATCGATCACGTGGCAGTCGCGAGCCGTCTGCTGGTAGTACCAAACGATCTCGAGGTAAAGGACCTTCTAAATCAAAACATAAACTCCCAACTGATGTAGCAGATCCATATTCAACAGTAGATTCTAGAAAACTACCGCTTAAACCAAAGATAATCGTGTCTGACACAAGTAAACATGCAACAATGCAACAATTACAAACTCCAACTCCAAGACATTTAGCAAAAATAAACAATGCAGATCTCGCATCATCTAATAGTAGATATAGCAGAAATACCAATACATTGAATGGAAGTTTTCAGCATTATAATTATAACGGATTTGATGACCCATATAGGGAAAAGAAATTATTAAATAAACAACGAACACACTCTAGGTCGAATAACTATCACCAACAAAATCATCGCCACAGACATATTCATCACAAATATCAGCCAAATATGGACTATTCATTAGATTCATCAGAACTATATCCTTATATGACGTCAGACACGTCAAGTATGTCATCATATACGGACACCAATGAACGAAACTGGCGTAAACAGCGTCAGCGGATAAGAAATAAATGCCGGCATTTTGAATCGCGTGACGGCTATTCAACGGATGTCTCAAATTCGGATTACCTCAGTTTTAATGACTACTCAATGGAAGATTCTAGCTCGTGGACAGGTTCCTCTTCTTCCTCGTCAGACGGCGCTGCAACCTGGCCGCCTTCACATACCGCGAATTTGCTCAAAATGTACAACATTCCTGACAAAAACTCTTCCACGGAAAACATCATGCATTGGTTAGATACAATGGACATGGAAGGATCCGGGCATGAAACATCTTTTTCAACGCTTCACGAGCCTTCTATAGCTAGTGATACAGATATAAGTTTAAGTGCAATGCAAACTTTTGAGGTTAAAAAAGAGAAAAAGAAATTTAAAAGATTAATGTCAAAACCAAAAGGATTATTCTTAAAGTTTTCAAGCTTGAATTACAAAGGAAAGGAGAAGAGCCACCACAATAGACCGTACCCATTAAAAAGGGAAACGGGCCTAGATGATAGATTAACTAATACGGCATATAAAGATACGCAGGTAGAGCAGGTATCAATGGCTCAATGCAATAATGGAACAGTCGCTCTTCCAACCATGCCATTACCGGTCGATAGTGTTCAAGAATCTATTGTTTAGTATTAAATTCATTAACATAGTTCATGTCATAAGATATGTCCATTATCTTAAAATATGTATTAAATTTGATACGAATATTTTTTATCTAGATTATATTTGTTGATAAAAATAGATTATCGAAATTGCTATCGTTGGCCTTCATTACTTCTGAAATAATTTTAATTAGTCGCCGGTAGAAACCGGCGACTATATTTGTAACAGTTTAATATTATATCTATGGTAGGAGCAGGCCTTAAAATCTGATTATAAAAGCAAATCAATTACTGAACAATTAAGGACCATAATTATTTTTCATAATCTTAAAAATTCAAAAACAAAGTAACGTTGCTAAATGAAATGAAATATACAAATATTGACATCTTAAAAAGCAACATTACAATTTTCATAAAATGAATTAATAACGTATCCCTATATATGGACCAGTCATTGAATTTAGGGATACTTTTACTTTTTTTCTAAGTGTCATGCGGTGCTATTTTATGATTGATAAATCATGAATGATATTTGAAATGACACATTAAATTTTTTTATATATATATATCTTATGAGACCTACCACATTTCATTATTATATCTAATTATAAACAGATTCTCCCTGTAGAATCACGTGACTACACGTCGTATGTTATTGTTATAAAATCTATTAATAGTAACAGATTGCTGATCAGATAAGACATACTAGTAACTTGTGAATAGTTGAAAAGGTATGGCGCCTGATTAGATGCAAATGTATAAATAATTACAAAGTTATCTTTCATTAATCAGTTTCATATTTTATATCATTAGAAAGGTCTGGATACTCATAATTTACACATTTTCAAAACCTTTTCGTTTTTTCTTGGTAAAGGGTTAAACTTGGCTTTCTGTCAACGTTCAATACTTTAGTTTAGGTTGAACATCACAAAATAGATTTATGCTAAAGAGGCACATTAGTGGTAATCGTCGTCTTCGTTATATTCCGTCGATTTCTGTCGCGCAGGTTACCAAAACGGTATGACGGTAGGGATTCGGAATCGTATTAGATACATAATAAAGAAAACTAATAAAATATCTTTTTGTTAATATTTTATCGAACTGAAAGGCAATTAAACGTTAACTATATCGTATGTAACGACAGGAATATTGATTTCAACTAAATAATTTATTTTTTCGATAGCGCATAAAAATATTTTTTATGCAGATACCACTTTTACGGTGGAATTGCATTGTTTCATGCAATAATTAAAACATATATATTTTCAAATATTCGATGACCGTTAATTATTTGGCGGTAATTATCGGATTCTGAAGTATACAATACGGATTTCGATGTCTGGTATAACGGTATATGTATAAGGTAGAATTACAAGTAGAATTACAAGAATATCACTCGCCTTACAAAATTAATCAAAATTATGAAATAAAAAAATGCTAGAAATGAAACACGATTTATCAACTTATGTTTCATATAGTTAAAAGAAATAATAAAAAAAATAGTTTTATGAAAACTGCAAAAGGGATTTTCAAAGATTCGAACTTGGCCTACTAGGTCACAACTTCGTCATACTTGCCACCACCAGGCCATCGAGCAATATCAATTGATTTAATATCTTTACTATCAATAAAATCTTTAGCATTAATCATATAATAAATTACGTAAACTAACGAAACACCTCCCGAAAATTAATGAGTCTCGGGTTAATATTGCAAGACAATACGTATACTTGCTTATTTAATAATCATAGCAGTTCCTTGACAATATTGCTAAGCAAGTTTGCTTCATATATGATGTTTTATTGTGAATGAACAGTTACTCAACATATTGTTTTACTTTCCTTTAATTAAACTTATATTTTCTTATATTAATGATAATATAATCATTTTCTATCCGGCGACTTGATGCTTTAGCATCAAAATCTCTACTTGTCTATTATTGAAGCGGTGTAATGGTCGAGATAAAGATCAAGGTTTTATAATAGCACGGACTGAGATCTCGCGAGATTAGAGTCATGATGTGCTACACACCTCGAGATCTCCAGATAAAACACTGACGGGTTGATTATGTTACCTCCGCCATATTATTCTTGTTCACACGATTTAATGTGCTATATTTAAGTCATTTTAAAATGGTTTACTTTTTCCTATTGATATAAAAGACGATCTTTAAAAAAAAACCTCTCTTTCTCCTCTAAATTTGCATATGAAACTGACTGGACAAAGCCATCCCCTTGACGATTGTTTACTAAAATCTCTGTCACTAAAAATTATTTTATTCAATTTACTTGTAAAACTACCTTTATAGAGAGACCATTTGTTAAATAGATCGCATTGTGCATTTCACATAGATTTGCTGTATTTACAATTTGGACTATAACTGCAGGCTACTTACAGTGGGGCATGAATGGTTCATCTCCTGTGGTTAAAGTGGGATAGTCGCCACATGAATTTCATAGTGTGGCAAGAACGTTCTTCCTAACAGTGACCCTTTGTCAACTTGTTCAAAACTACCAGGGAGGGGGCTTTTGTTCACCTGTTCAATTATAAACAAACGTTTCAAATATATTTGAATTTTGACTTTTAAGGAAGTCGTTCACCTTCAGAAAACTGCAAACGATTTAAACATATTTTTCAAGATTTTTAAAACTATTTGATGCTGAATGTTATCATGGTAGCTCATCACATATTAATGGCCTCGTGTTTATAATTTACAACCCATTAAATACCGGATTATCATTGTATCTGGACCACCTACTATGAACCGTGCAATTTAAATTAGTGATAAATAACAGTGTACCAGTTTATTTACATTACAATGATATGGAAAATGAGATTTTAATGAATAAAAAGTCGACGAATTCATATTTTGTATGGGGTCTTGATAACTGGTGTGTCATCATAAACATTAAAGAAAATATAAGCGTGTAATGTAAACATTTTATGCATAAATATTCAAATATTTTCAAACAAAGGACACGAAGTGATGATATAAAACGCCGAATGAAAACATATTTGTAAATTTACCTTAAATCTTTAACAGAGGAGAGTTGTTTCTTTCAGGAAACACAATTATAATTGTTACTTTTGTTATATATTTCAGAATATATAGTTTTCTTTTGATTCCCGTGAGAGCAAACGTGGTGGTTTTACAAATGTTAAAATGCTGTCGTTTCGATCTTGTTAAATACGATTTCTTGAAAAAAAAATTAAAAAAAAAAAAAACCAAAACATAATGGATATTATACATGCCACTGTATTGCTGTCTTGTTAGGAACAAATTGTCAAGCGTTTTTATGCAATCACTATTTTGAAGGGTACATAGATTTGCCCTTGCCCGTCCGATCCGTACGTAACCATGCAGTTTGTGAAATGTTTTTTAGATTTTTAGAATACTTGTCGACATTTGCGCTTACACACACGGGTACTTGAAAATTTGCAATTGAAAGTTCGTCAGCTCTTAAAAAATCCAACATCACATTAAACACATGTGATTTAAATTTGTACACATGCTGTTAATACAAATAAGCACTTTATAAAACAAGAGGCGTTAAAATTCTTATGTAGACTTGAAGTTTCATTGTGATGTTCCCGCTTTGTTTGTGGAAGAAGTTTCACTGTGCCCTTTCGTACATAATTGTAAAAACGGGCGTACGTTTGGAATACAACCTGATCCCACCTTCTTCCTTCCTGGCCAGCTTGAAGTACTTGTCAGATTTGCGTCCGTGTAGCGATAAAAGTGCGTCATACGAGACCAGCATGTTTAACTACTCGGCTCCATTAGATTGATGTTCGTTGACATCTTAATTTTATTGTACAAACATTTAAGAAAAAAATCATGAGACTAAAACGCTTAACATTTCTTTTATTAAAAAATTCTTTTGTTATTAGATTTACGCTTTATGTCAATCATTGACTTTATAAAAGTTTCTTCTTTCAATTTGGTTTTTGTATGAAGGTGATAATGTTTCTTAAATAAGGTTTATATTCCACACGAAACTCTAAACGATAAGTATGCAACGAAATATCTTTGTGAAAATGAATACAAGTTATGAATTATCTGTCAAACTGATGAAATAATGCGTCATTTTTTTGTTGTCATAAAGCGATGATAGGTAACCATATATATCTTTTTTTCTTTTATTTGAGAAAAACCATTTTTGTTTCAACATACTATGACTTTCATCAAAGCGAATAAATGATTTGCAGTATTTGTACGAATATTTTAAATAAGAAAATGTCCAGCTCAAAATATGGTAACGTTTGAGGCATGATTACTTTCATATGACAGCCTGTATTATCTGCATTACACATGATAATCTGTATTTACCACATATTAAACGAAAATCTGTATTAAACCACATTACTTAGATAACATGTATTTACCACACTACACAGATAATCTGTATTTACCACATAACACATGATAACATGTATTTACAACATTACACATATGACCTGTATTTACCACATTACGCATGGTAATATGTATTTACCACATTACACATGGTGTTCAGTATTTGCCACATCATAACACATATAACCTGTTTATATCACAGAACTCATGGAAATCTTTAATTACTACATTACACATGAGAAAAAAATAAGTAAAAATGTAACAACGATCAAAATGAAGAAATGTTTACTTACAAAAATAAATAGAAATTTTGTATCATGATAACAATTACATATAACAAAAATAGTTTAAACAAATACAATAAGCTCTTATATAATGATTTCTTTTGTGTTATTTTAAAGTTAGAAATTATAGAAATATTATAAATCATTTCCAATAATCGATCTTTGATAGAGGAGTGGCCATGGAGTGTTATGTCTAATTATCATTGTGTTCTGATTGCATTTTTACAGTAGCAATATGTGTCCTTCTTAACAATATAGAATAATATACTATAACAGTTAAATACTGTTTACCATATCCATTATTTAGATTTTCGAAAAAGCTGTAACAACGAATGTCACTGTTATTTTACACACATCAAAAGTGTAGGTAAACAGAATAAAATGTTCCAAAAGAAAATATTATGCAGAAGAGGGGTTTAATTGTTTAACAATGATTTCGTACATATGACATTCGCTCTTAAGAAAAATGACTTGCATTCATGTATTTTGGGCGTGTTTTGTTTACTTTTCTTTTCTTTCTTTTTTATCTGTATCTTTTTTGTTCAGAATTCAAATAACATTTTTTTTAGTAAACATATAGCTTTTTAGATGTGCAAAGGGAGGTAACAGTAATAGTTGCAAACTATACAATATAAGTGAGAATGGATTATCTCCCTTATTTCAATGGACAACAACGATAAAATGAGAATAAGGCGATATCCAGTTCTTTTGCAATTGTCACGTCCTATGGTGCACAAAACCTGAAAATAAATCATCAAATTAACAGGTTGGAATAAAATGTTAATGACGGATGCTACAGTTAAAATTAAGTCAATCATTCATAATGACATATAAAGGGAAATAACTGTCGAAAATTTGAGAACTGAAATTAACATTGTTTAAGTTTGCACAGTCATAAAACTTCTGTACATAATCATAATGTCCATATTAAACCAGTTCAACAGTTTAAACCAAATTTTTTAAAAAAAACGCAGAAAACTCGAAATAAGTTAATTACCTAAATTTATAATGCATGCAGGTATTTTGGTTGTTTTTTTGTTTTTTTTCAGATCAAAATTTTATAATTTTGCTTAAAGCTTTTATCATGTTATCATATCAGCATTCCTATATGCATTGTATTAAAAATAATTTTCGGACCTAATTAAAATGCTGTTGCTTAACAAATAACTAACGGGATACTTAAGTTTAACAATTACTTGTATTATTACTTAACCTGTGCTAATGTTTCCTTTATATTTCGATTAACTGATTAATATATAAAATGAGCCGCGTCACGACAAAAGCAACATAATGGGTTTGCGACCAGCATGGATTCAGACCAGCCTGCGCATCCGCGCAGTCTGATCAGGATCCATGCTGTTCGCTATCAGTTTCTCTACTTGTTATACGGTTTGTAAGCGAACAGCATGGATCCTGATCAGACTGCGCAAACCCATTATGTTGGTTTTGTCATGGCGCGGGTCAAATAAGTATTAATTCTTTGCATGAGTTTTATTTAGAACGTCAGGATATTTGAGCAGAAGTAATTAAGTACAGACCCGCAAGTAAGTGCACAGTTCTCCACTGTAAAATTATACAATACAGTCAGTAAACTGTCATCACTGTCCACACAGTTGGTTTGGTTCCTCCAGTATTCACATGCCTTTTGTGGAGACCGATCGGAACATGCTGCAATATAATAATACAATAAAATTATACAATAAAATATCACAAATCTAAGTAACAGTATTCTCTTTAAAGGGAATAAAACATCTTAAAGAACATACACATATAGAAACATATTCATAAATCGTTAAGATTATGCTTCAAAATTGCTATCATTTTTACTTCTCAAAGCCTTTTTATTTTTAGTTTCGAAAAGTACTCAGTTTAAAGATCTAGAAGTGTTTGAGAATAAGAATTAATATTTTGATATATTGAATTGTCAATAGATAGGTTGTCTTGAATGAACAGTACTTACGAGCAGGTGTTGTTGTTGTAGCTGATACATTGTTACAGACAAGATATGGACAACAATGTGGAAAGGTCAAGGCCGTTTCAGACACAAACTCACAGTTAATTGCATCTGGTAACTCGTGCTCACCAACGCAACTAAAACCAAATAAACATATAATAATAAACTGCTCTAACAAAGTTTTATTCGTGCTTAAAACCTACTTTTACTTTTACAGTCAGCTGTTGTGATGACGAAAAATTTGACGTTATTGTTTCAGTTTATGCACGTACTCGTGTTCAGCGGACCGATTATGATCCCGAGCCGGTCACGTGACTCTCATCATTTTGACAATTTTGTAACTATATTATCATAATCATAGTCAAAAGTGTTTGAATTCTACTTATACACTGGGCAAATTATCAGCTACAAATACTCTGTGTTTAATAATAGCAAACATTTTAATATCGGTTCCGTAACAGATTTGGATTTTGTTTTGATGTTACCATCTTGCATTAATATTAACGGCTCCGTGGTTTGTAAGTTTAGTTTCTAAGTACTTTGTGAATGATCACCGTACATGATATTTGCAACAATAAATCTTTGTTATTAAAAGATTAATGAAAGTCACACAATGTACTAACTCGTAGTTGATTTGCCATTTTAATGTTTCTAGCATCCCTTCATAGCACACACGTCTATCACATGATCCGCTTGAGCTTGTCCAGTTCTGTAAATGTGATCGTGTATTTCCGTCCCCATCAACACAATCTGATGTGAATAAAACGATGAGAAATTAAAGGCTTAATGAAGCATAAGTTTTGTTTAATGCTAAAAAATAAATCGCCATAAAACACTCTCCTTTTTACCCTATGAGATGGCTTGAATTCATTTTAATAAAGGCATCTGTTTCACGTAAAATGTCTCAATTAAAATCTGAATTTCAAATTTTGACGAATACAATGTCTTGTTTCATGAATGCGCAATATGAACAATGCAGAACAATTAAGGTTTCCATTGCTATGACGTCATGATACTTTTTCAAGAGACATATTAAAATTGTGATTTTACCTCATACTATTGTACTGGAATTTTGAAAATACTTAATCTTAGGCTTTAGGAACAGCGCTGGATTACTGCATCGTTTACATTTCGAACAATTTTTGTTCGTAAGTGAAAAGTGCAAATTCATCAGAAAAGATCCCTCCGCGACAGGGATAATACCAACTCTCATCTGCTTATAACCAATAGCTAGTACCAACGCTATAGCAAAGTGAGATAAAGAATCGATTCCCTAACGCAGTGGTGAAAGGTTTCATTATAACTTAGGGAGGTCAGTGATGGCCAGAAAATGATACATATTGGTTTTGTGTCAGTCGTCCTCGTAGTTGTTGAAGTCGTATTAATCGTCGTGATAGTCATCAGTTGTCGTATTCATCGTCATCATTGTTGTCTAAGTCGTCAAAATCGTAGTCGTCAAAGTCGTAGTCACCGTAGTCGTAGTTGCCATTGTCGTAGAAATATTATTCGTGGTTGAACTCGTAGAAGTTCTTGTGGTGTACTCGTAATCGTAGAAGTTGCAGTTATGGTCATGGTTGTGGTCGTCGTGGTCATAGTCGTATCTGGTATTCTTATCAGTCTAAGTAGTTGTAGCCGTTAATGTCGCCGTAGATATAGAAGTCGTTGCCGTAATCCTAGCCGTACATATAGTCGAAGTAGTCGTCGCAATCGAAATACACGTTATACACATTTCTAACAATATTATCACTATCTCTCTCTACCTCAGTATCGATAGAATTACTATGCATGTAGTTGCAACAAACACATTTGCAGCGATAATAGTTCTGCTCATCTCAACGACGTAACAAATGATTATGATCACTATCTTACAACAACGATATGCAGCATCTTGACATTTACAGCTTACGTGATTCTGTTTAGAAGTATACGATGTTACTTACAATCAACACGTAAGCTATAAACGAGGGTTGGTTAATATGTAATGCGATATGGTCAATAGATTTAACAAAATAGCAAATATTTTACAATTTTCTATTGCAACCCTTCGGAATAATCTCCGGAAGACGATAAATATCAAATTTAAAGTGAGTCCTCGCACTGGTTTCGAGCTTTGCACATAAAAGTTATATCAATTCCTATACGGGTAACCCGTCATAAAATATGACGAACGGAGTGTCCTATTAATTAGAATCAACACAGTATTCAGGAGTCAAATTCAAGTACATTTCAAATTATTTACTTATGACATTTCACGTTAAGTTTTTGCTTTTTAGGCTCGTTTACAACTGTTTGTCTAGTATCCATGATTGTTTGGTTTAATGAAAACAGTGATGTTTTCTCAAAGCCAAAGGGATTCTTAATCAAGAGAATTTGGGTTTGCAATTTTTACTGTTATGAAACTTTAATTAGATGGTGCAACTGTCTTTCAATTGGGTGATGATTTCTCAAAAATGGCGTCAGAGAAACATTATAATTATTATAACATAAAAATAACCAACTTTTTATACACTTTGCAGTCTTTCAAAAGATGTAATCCGGAAATCTGCAAATGTGTGGTCCCGGGGTACAAAAACTTGAACGGCTGCACGATGCACAACCGTTCTCAATAAACTTGTCAAAGCTTTGCGCTTAAAGGGATATTAAGGCAAATTAATCACAAAAATATTAAAATGATTTTATGTAAAATCACATTTTTTAAAGCCACGGCATAAATTTTTGTATAAATTCTATATATTTTAGGATTGAATCGTAAATATATCATGTTGAACGAAATTTAGACGCCGGCAGAATCACCGAGTAGTTTTAAAACAAGTAATGTGACTTGAACAAACCCTGGAAGTTACAATAATAGATATAGTTGATATTGTATGATTAAAACAAGTCCAAGTCATTCATTTGACATAATCTTTAACTAAACGTTTACTGTGACAACTATTGTGAAATCTTAACGCTCTAACCTGACCCCCGTTTATAAGGAGAAAAGTTTTGTTCTTGTGACTGCCTACTGTATTCATTTTGGAGACATTTACATAATAATGAATGGTAAAAAAAAAAGAAAAATTTGCCTGTGTCTCCCTTTAAAATCGGTATATTTACCAAATTGTTACTGAAAACATCTGTTTGAACCCTGAGATTAGCTAGGAAAACTCTACATTTGCCGAGTTACGGAATACTCTTTTCAAATATTAGACTGTTTTGAAATATGTCGCATAAGAAAATAACACGAATTTTGATGTAAGATTTAGAACACAAGGTGAAGGGACTGTAGTGTCTTGTAATCTACATTCCTTGACAAACATTAGAGGGATAATAACTTGACAAATATTAGAGGGATAAAATATTAGAGGGATAATAACTTGATAAGTCCGAGGACTTCAATATATTAGTGTGTTTCTAAAGAGATTGACTGTATAACTGTAACTTGGCTGAAACTAATATATAAAACGTGCAAAAACAGAACGTGCCCATTAGTGCATGCCAGCGTGCACAGGTTTTATGCAATAGTTAGGATGATTGAATAATGATCTTTTCAGGAGGATATAAGGAGTACTATCCTATACATAATGACTTGTTAAACCTTTTGATCTACTGGTATTTCATGAAGATGAAAGTATCGTCAGATCAATATTTTTTAGACACAGTACATGTAATATATTAGAGTAACAATAATGTTCATAATATTCATATGTTTAAAGAAGTTTACTTTAAATTATTCATTTTTTTTACATCGACAAAGAAAGAACATTAAACAAGGGAACAGAATGTTTTTAACTTTGCATGATTAGAATACCGGTAAATCATAATTGGAACTAATTTTGTAAAATATCTATTTTTTAATGTTTTAATATGTTAACCTACTACAATATTCTTCAAAAAAAGGGCATAACTGGAGAAAATGTCAGAATGAAATATCTACCTTAGAATACTAGCAAAGTTTATATAGTGCCAAGAAATAAAGAAATAAAAAGAAATTTTAAATCAAATAAAGAGTTGCTTGTCACATTTTTTGAGTTATCTGCTCATGAAAATGGCCTTAAACAATAATGGCTTATTCAGGGGCAGATAACTTAGGAAAAAAGACCGAGACACCCGTTTTTTTTCTAAAAAAATCTCAAAATAGTGGAGCATATTTTTTTAAACTCACGATGAGGGGGGGGGGTCATATAGTTGGGGCATTTTCCATCTGATTGTTACAAAGAGAGCGAAATCTTTTCCATTGGTCAATACATACATATGATTGGTCAATACATACATATAAATACAAACACTTTTTAGTCCAATGTCCCTTTTACAACAACATCAGAGTAGACATTTTTAGTGAACAATTTATGAATGCAGATTTTATGAACATGAACGATGATATGAAAATGAAATATCTTGTTGTAAGTTTTCCACGAAAAGTAGCTAAATACCTTGTTAATGCTTATCTTAAAAGAAAGAAATCCTTGTTTAATCGTTGAAATATTTATCATATTATTATAATATTGATGATGTGTACAGTATAATAATTTCATGTGAACTATTTATAATGTATATATGTTTCAGGTGACTTATTGGTCCATTGGGCCGGGTGTTATGTTAAATTATTTAATTTCGTTATTTGTAAACTGTCATACACATGTCACTATAATAAAATATTTACTTACTTACTTACTTACTTACTTATAAAAGCATTCATTTAATGAGTGTAAAAACCAAACATTTATATAACAATGCCTATGACATGTGTATGTGTACGAGGGTTGTTCAAAATGTAATAGGACTGCAGTTTTACTGTTCACATTTTTCAATTTACGTGCACAATTTTACAAGATAATAATATCGGAATATATCCTCTATATACAGTGAAAAAATCGATAAAATATGTTTACAAATAACGAGTCTGTGAAAATTTCAAATGACAAGGTGTACGCGACCCGGCGCACGCTAACAGCACAATAAATGACCTTTATATGACGTCGTAAAATAAAAACAAAATGTATCAAGCGTCATCCCTTTGAAAGAATTACCCCTAGTGTTCTAGGTGTCTAAATCATGTAACTTTGACCAGACCTCATATGTGGAGATGAAGCGAGAAAAAAAACGATCACATTCTTGTTCCACTCTCCGAGAAAAAAAAGCCCGATAGCCGGCCACTCTCCGCTTATTCTCTTATTCTTGTATCTTATAGTAATCAATAAAGATTAAACAGGCATTAACTTATGATGTTAATAAAAAGCGATTAATAGAATTATTTTACACATATCATCGTACGTTCTTAAAACAAAATGATTATGTAAGAAAAATAACAATAGTTATCATCTGAAAGATATATTTTCCTACTAAAAACAGCGTATCATTTTTAAAAGAAAATCGGTGAAAATATTAATAATTACCGTTAATCATTATGATATTAATTTATTGATAACACATATATCTATATAAATGAAATAGAATTTTGTTTGAAACAAATCATTTAGGCAGAACTGAATGATGCAGACCCGATGCAGAAATCAAACATGCCGGACAGTTCATGGACTGTTTACCGTCGATCATTTTGTAGCGCTTTTTCATTTGACGTCACTAACGTCCCGTCAATTTCCGGCTATCATTCTCATCCTTTCCTGTTTATGATTTCGTATGTGCAGTTTTTGAGTTGTTTGCGCAAGCTGCGAACGAGTATCCTGATAGCCGATTAATTGTACTGTGTTAATGTTATGTTTTCATATGTATCTGAAGGAGTATCGCCTATTTGTTGGCAAAGTTTAACGATCGCACACATTTTCAGTTTTTTAACGAACGTCAAATTTCTACATTTAACGTTATGACCACTGCTGTTCAAAACTTAATGATTTAGCCATTTCATGTCTGAATGACGTCAAATTTGGGCATAATGTCACTTAAATATGATAAATTGTGTTGGTGGAATAAATGGGGGAAAAAAGAAAATAAATTATGAATAAAATAAAAGTTCAACTAAGCTTCGATAACCTTTCTATGTGCTGCGCCGGGTGCGTGTTACCATGGTTATTCAATAACACAGGGAACACGCGTGAAGAATAAGAATTCAATATTTTTATGTTTAAATTGAAGAAAACATTTTTCGATCGCTGTACATATGAAAATATTCTAAATTGAATTGAATATGAAGATGCAAGACTCTCAGTCCTATTACTTTTTTAACAACCCTCGTATTATGAGAATCTGGCATAGTTTATTACTGTTAATATTTAATAATAAAAATGTTGAATACTCAATATCTGACACATTTGTAAGAACTTAGTAAGAACTTAGTTCTCTTTTTAATTCAAACTTTTAAAATGATCAAAGTCTTTCAAATGATTTTTTTCCAATTATAATTTTGCAAAATTGAAAATGACATAAAGCATTTATTTGTTAAATAACACATACAATCCATATAAAGATATCATATATTTTAAGGTGACATTGATATCAAATAAAAATAATATGTTTAAGTAACTGTTTTGAGGAAAAAAACACTTCATAGCTTCCTGAACTTCAAAAACTCTTGTATATATAAAAAAATTTCTTGTATATCATGAAAATCGGAATAAAGTAAACATCAAAATAATCTTTTACTGTTGAAAGTGATCGCTATTTTAATCATAACGTCATTATTCAGTCATTTTATTTTAATAGAATGGATGTTGGAAGATAAACCTTTTCGTAGAGAAATCTAACTAAAAAACAACAACAACAAAACTATTCCTACTCACCGGCAGGAAACACTGTCTTAGAGGCGACCTCTACAGGTCTAAGGATCCATGGATTTGTTGAATTAACACAGAGAAAACCAAAACTTAAAACAGCAAAAAATATGCTAAAAATCCGCACTAAAATAAACGGTAAATCTTTATCCGACATGTTCGGATCCTGGCCAATACGAATAACAATAATAATAATATATAGCCTTTATATACGTGCCTTTAATTTTTAATGAAAGAGGATACTCCTATACATATAACGCTTCTGTCTTAAGTTGATTAGAGTATTGTCTCGGGCATGTATTGATTTTTGATTCATCTGAAGATATGAAGTACCCTTCATATAAAGATAAAATTAAGGCATTTTGGTGTGTGTACTGTAAAAAAAAAATAATTGTACTGACGCACAAATACCAAATTTTAATCGATTTATATGTTTATTTTTAGAATATTATCATTTTTTAACATCAAAACAATTGGAACGAATTTGGTAATTATATGGTAAACATGAGTTGTAACATACTAGTATCCTACACATGATTGTGACAAAATGTACAGGTCACACGACAAATTTAGATTTTTTTAACGTTATGTATAAATATTTTTTACATTCATCTTGAAATGCACTAAAAAAGATTTGGCTGAGTAGAAGGAATCACATAAATCAAATCAACACCAGGTAATGTATTCACAGCGAGAATTAATCCTAGTTTTATTTCATCTAAACCATTAACGCAACTCGCAACTGTCCCTTACCACTCGTAAATATCGTAATGTAAGGCTGGGGAAATATTTGCAATACCGCAGTGTATCATATTGTTTAGTTTAGTTTGGTTTAGTTTGTTCAACTTGGTTTGGTTTTGGTTTGGTTTGATTTAGATTAGTTCCAAATATTTACAGTTAGATTAGTTCCAAATCTTTACAGTTCGGTTAAGTGTTATGTCTCAGTATCAGCCTCAATTCAGTTCCAGTTTAGTTTTTCAGATAAGGTTTATTTCATTTCATTTCATGTACTTTTAGCCTGGTACAAAACAAGGAAAACATAGCATTTATACAAAGTTGCACGCACACGTGTGCATGCAACTTCAATATAGTCGTGGCCACAAGGAAATAATGGATATTATTTGTATAGAAAACATGAAACATAGAGGAGAGGCTTAACTTGATTTAAATCGTCAAGTTCAAGTATCCTTCTTCTTCTTCTTCTTCTTTTTCTATACCAATTTATACAACATTGGCACCTGTTTTGAGAACCACGCCTTAAAGGCCCAGTATGCCCCAGAAGTGACTTAATTTTTATTTTGTGTGTGTGTGTGTGGTGTGTGCGTGCGTGCGTGCGTGTCCTGATATAGTTTCCAAAATGTTAATTAATGGACAATTACCTTAACCATCTTTTACTTCTGTTGCCTCTTGGACATCAGTACAGCTACAGTAATTTAATATTTTGTATAGAAGTCAAAATACTACGTTGTTTTTATGACACATCACATTCAGTACTACTTTCTCCAGGTGATCAGCATGTAACATGTTCTAAAACCATTATTTAAACGTTATAAAACTCATGTTTACCCTTCTAGAATAAGGAAAAAAAATATTTGTTTTTTAATGCATAGTGAGGCTTTAAAGTAGACAGATTTCCTTTAAATTGAAAATAACCATCAAATAGCGTTTCGTGACAGTAAAATGATAAAATAAAAAAAAATGATGCCAATAATTGTCTTAAAAGGAGAACATGCGAGATAAAAATGATATACGGGATTCTTTTCGCATAAGAGACTGACAAAATACAATGACATCGATGAAAATTGACCACATCACGATCATATTTCGATCCTTTGATTTATTGACTCATGACTAAAATAACATAATAAGGATTATCGAGAGGTGTTAATCTTTAACGTCTTTCTTGACCAGTGTTTACCGCCATTTCAGCCCCGGGTAGGACAATTTTCTCGTGCTTACAGTATTGCTTAACGTTTAACAAAAGTCAAACATACATACTTTTCTGAACTTATATTGAGATTGCGTGTTACTTAAGACTTATAAGATATTGGATATAGTGTAATATAGTGTATAAATGGACAATTTGGGGATATATATAGACAATTTGGGGACATATTTAACAGTTGAAACCCCAAAATGCTGGAGCGACACAATTCTATAGGACAAATATCGCCAAAACACACTTACAATAAAAACCATCTAAATAGACATAGCTGTTTACAGAGACAAAAATCTCGCCATCTGTTTAAAAAGCAGAGAACATCCGTCTGTCTGTTCAGCTGTAAGGAAGTAGAGGACAAAGTAAACAATAACGGTGAAAAAGTTATTAGTGCCAAGTTGAGTCGTATGCTATTGAAGCATACGAAATTCGGATTTATCGAAAGTTTCCAAAACTTGACCATAAAACAAGTTTGTGATACCGAGTGTCGTATTGGTGGTGAGAGTGATCAGCTAGTACAAAATTACTCCATGCCTGACAACCTTGTGTTCGACTCCGAGATTACAGCAAAGATCATCAACAAGGAAGAGTTTGAGCTTGGTCGTGTCCTAGGTGCAGGAGGTTTCGGGTCCGTGTATCTGGGCAACTTTAAACGTCAGACGGTAAATATTTACATGGCCAAATGTACAGAAAATACATTATCGAAAGATAATAGATATAATGAAATGCAAAATTTTTTTAACTGAACAAATTTTGATAATTTGAAATAATCTTTACTGAATTATAACATTCAATTGAAAATTGAAAATCATATTTTATTATTCTTATGTATAAATTTTTTGACCTATTTCCTTTTTTATAATCTAAATTTGAAATGTGATCACTATTGTTCCATTCGACCTCAATAAAATATAACCAATATACTTTCAGCGCTTGAACCGAGTGATGTTCCAATAGAAATAATTATCGGATGCAATCTTATCAATTTAGCCTCGTTTCCATTTCCAGAGTCGAAAACGTTCATTCACACCCTATCATAGCCTCGTTTTCATTTGCAGAGTGAAAAATTTCTTTATTAAATCCATATCGTACTCCATATAGCCCAGGGTCAAAAAAATTGAATCAATTCCTGATTGTACTTGAAGTTAAAAGTTCTGTCAAAATATAAAAAAAGAGAAATAAAGAGGTCATTATGCGTTGTTGACAACAATACTGATTTTATAGGACTCCGTACATGTTAACAAATTTATTATTGCCTTTCTTGATTAAACAATGCTAAAATCAATGTCAAAATAATGTGTTACCTGGGCATCCGGGATTAAGTTTTTAGATCGATGAGTTCAAAGCGCTTGCTTCTGACTGCTCTATATGCAAACAACCGTTAAGACCATATAACATGTCCAAACAATTATAACTTATGATATACACGTCTTTTGTCATTTTATGAAAAATCTTGTCTCTTAAAATGATTTTTTCTGTGTTATAAAGTGGTTATATAAGACGGGTTATATGGACGTATATAAACGGTTATGCTCGGATCATATATGCAAACAACCACAATATAATATAAACGTCGCGATTATCAGATGAAAAGCGACATTACAAACGTGCAGTATTACAAAATTTGAATTATTTGTTCGGACTGTTAAATTTTACTTATTGATATTTCTCAGCTATAACAAACAAGAACTGCAAATACTGTTACAATGAGGTTATTATAATATTTTGTATTAATATGATATATATCTGTTTTACAGGTTGCTATAAAAGTTATGCACAAATACACGAAGAATCCAGCCGCCCAGCTTGAAAGTTTCAAGGCTGAATTACATGTGATGCGTTTTAATCATCCAAATATTGTGAAAACATTGGCTGCTACTCATATTGACCAGTTTGATGATGGTGCCTGGGTTGTCATGGAGTACATTGGCAGATCTAGTTTACAGGTAAATAATATAATTATGTTTATTATCCGGTTTTATTTCCACCACGGCATGTTACCCGCAATTGGTGCAAGTATCAACAGATATTTCCTTGTAAGCTGACTTCTCAGACAATTGAATGAATTTAGAAGTTAGTCTTACTCTTGACTAAGACTGTGTGAACAACTTCGTGTGATATAATCTTTGCCCAACTCATCAGCAGTGTAGGTCATTATCAAAAGCAATAATTCTTGCATGAGTTTAACCGAGTGATTCCCCGCATTTCTGATGCCCCAACCCTTAAAAAGGCAACCCAACTATTATGATACATTGCACGTGTTTACTATACAGTTACGTACGTTCTCGTTACCTATTAAATGCGAATATCATAGTCGATACGTGCACGTATTAGCTACACATACGTACGCAACTAGTTTAAAGTGACATTATGCTCATATTTTCATAGTTAAGTTGAGCTGAATTGTCTTTATATTTCAAAAGATTGACTGTCAAAATGGTGTTTGACCAACAGTTGATATTAGAAACCGTTTAGGATAAAATTTTGAATCTGCCTATAATTTAAACAGACTGCCCCACTCTTTTTTATAAACTAAGCGTTATAGGTAAATTCTAATAGATCTTTACAGAAATTTCATTTGGATCTGTGCTTAATTTATTGTTTAAGTGAACTTAAATATTAAATTGAAAGGATTTATGAACAAATGAAAACTTATTTTGATCTTCACTCGTTCACTCACTATACCCATGGATAGGCATAATGTCACTTTAACACGTGCTCGCATGATGCTAACACGTGAGCATGTATTAAATAAAATATCTCCGATGTCACATATACACAGGAACTGGCTAACAGATCATTATTATGTGACTGAAATACTGTTTAAGTTAAGATAAAAAATTTAAGTATCATTGAAATAAAAGTATCATAGTTTTTATTTAAAGAGATCTGTATCACCATAATTTTTAGAATCATATCACTTTAAACTAACGACTCATAATAGTACATATAAATAATGAAAGAAAATGTTGCGTTTTTGAGCAAACAATTATTTACTGTCAAGACTATATTTTTTTTTTATCTAGCTTGGATGTCGACTTGATGAAATTAATAATAATTATTCACATAATAATAACAATACAGCTTTAAATTATGATTTAATTACAAATATTTTTGAATTATTAATGCTTAACGATACATTTATATCATTTTATCAATAGTAATTGATTAAATTTATTTCATTAATTTATTTTAGGGAATTATTAACGACCCGGCCGAACATTTTGACTCCATGAGAAGATTAAAGTACTCGATCCAGGTGGCCAGCGCTCTTGCCTATGCTCACACACAAAAAGTTGCTCATCTAGACTTGAAACCCGCCAACATTCTTATCACATCAACAGACGACTGTAAAGTGGGCGACTTCGGCTGCTCTCAGAGAGTTGAGTTCGACACTGGCATTGTCAGTCCGACAAATCGATCAATTCTTACAGGGACATTCGCTTACCGGGCACCGGAGTTGCTCCGCGGAGAACCGCCCACTTTTAAGGCGGATATATACTCGTATGGAATCACGATGTGGCAAATGAGGAGTCGGGAAACTCCGTTCACCAATCAGAATCAGCACGTGGTTATATTCGGAGTTGTTGCTAATGGGTTAAGACCTAAAGATCCTGAGCCGTCTGACACCGACCCGTTCGAGCTGAGTTATAAGGATTTATACACCCAGTGTTGGGATGCTTGCCCGCTTGATCGTCCGTCTGCGCACGAACTTGTTGAACTATTGAATATTTGGAAGGAAAATGTATAATAGCAGAACATTTGTAAGACAACAGTGAATGGATTTTGTGGCATTTTGGCCATCAAAGAATAAACATACTAGTAGTTATGAATATTGTTTCATTTCGTTGTCAAAGAACGTTATATAGATGTATATACATGTTTACAAATTTTGTACAGTCATAATGTTATACAAGAGATGGCGTTTTTGCCTTGTTTTCGATGTACAGTGTACAGTTTTATTGTTATACATTACTTCATACGTCTAATAAAAATTGCAAAAAATATGAAAAAAAAAATATTTATATGTCAAAATTATATAAATTTACATAAATTTACATGCTTGTACATAATTATACAGAATATACACATAGTTGAAAAGTTTATACAAATTCGTATTAAGTGGGGTCACTGTAAAAGTCTTGATTTTTTTTACAAGAACAGGCTTTTGTTCGTGGTCCGTTAGGAATGTGGTAAATAAATAACATTATCTACATGTAGTTTATATTTTATATACAATTTGTTGTATATGTTTACATTTGTTGAAATAAAAAAAATCATATTACATAATATGTTATATCAATTTATCCATGTTATTAAACGTACATTAACAATGTATAAGCAGGGCTAGCACTGGCAGATTTTTTCTTTGAGCCAATTTTTCGCGGCAAAAAATGCGTTCCTGTATTTTATTTTCAAGAAGGCAATGGTACTGTCAAATAACCAGAATTCAGTTGTCAGACTAATGTATAGCATTAGTTCATATATGGAACACCTTAAAAAGGCATGAGATATTTAGAGAAAAAAAACATAAACTACATATATATCCAACTTTATTTTGGTAGCTACATTTTAATCACTTTAAAACTGATCATAAAAGCTTGCAGCTCAGTAGCTATAAGAATAACATTTTCCAGGCTAATTTGGTCAGCAATGTTTTCATAAAATCTAAGTTAGTGGCATGACAGTGACATCAGAACCACATTCCAATGTGCTGCTTCAGCTTGCTTGGTTAATGCCAAAGATTTGGTTTGAGGACTATCTGTATCTGAAATTATAAAACAGAAACATTTGAGAGTAAGAAGAATAATTACATGTATTAATGAAAAAAAAATTGAAAAGGTCTTAACTAAACATAATTCAGGGGGAAAAAAGCCAAATATTCATTATAAGAGTAAAGTAATTAGCATAAGTTTCCTAAAAATATGTTGTATGCTTCTTGAATTTTCCATAAACATTTCACAGCCATGTATGCCATTTGTAAATGAATGCTCCAGATAGAGGTTATGTACAAAGTAAGGTCATTTTTTTTTTCAGGAATACTAATTGTCAAATTTACTCTTTGTCAAATTTATGCTTTTTTGGAGCCATTATTAGGTCAGATTTAATTTGCAATTTAAAAAAAAACAACTTCTATTCTATAACTCATAATTCCTTTGATCTTTTTATCAACAACAATAAAATTATATGATTGCAAACTTACCGTAAAGTCGTTCATTTCATAACCAAGCTGTTGATATGATTGGCGATAATCTTAAGATGTTGCTAGTTATTGTTTCATATCAAATATAAAGACCAATTATCCAGTGCACATTCAACAATTCACACCACAGACATTTGGGGTTTGGAGCTCAAAACGCCTTTAAAATCCAAATAAAATGCATATTTGTCAATCCCAGCACATGTACTGATCATATATATCAAAAAAACTGAATATAAGCCGTTTTGAAAAAATTTCATATTTCAACATCTATAATAATTATAGATGTTGAAATATGAATTTTTTTCAAAACGGCTTATATTCAGTTTTTTTGATATATATGATCAGTACATGTGCTGGGATTGACAAATATGCATTTTATTTGGATTTTAAAGGCGTTTTGAGCTCCAAACCCCAAATGTCTGTGATTCACACCAATTAGTGTCATATTTATCAGCTGATAAACATGTAAACATACCATGAGGTCAGTGTATTAGACTGTGTTACTGTTTATAACGATATTTTATTTGGAAGGGAAGTAACAAATATAGACCAGTCAATGACCCCACAAAAAGCAGACGGTGTCGCAGTGTTTTGTGATAAGAAGCGGTAAAGCGGAAGTTGTAAATGGAAAACCAAATGTGTACTTTTCCATTCTTAAAATAGCAAATGCTAAATTTAGACTGGATATTCCAAAAGTCATACTTTTCGTAAGTTGGAGCCAATCATGATTTTCTTGAGCCAATTTAATAATTTTGGAGCCAATTTGCTCATTGGCTCCTGCCAGCGCAGGAAAAAGTCCATATTGTAACCGTTTCAAGAAGACGTTTGGTCGCAGTTTCGTTTGTTTTTTTGTATCAAGGACATTGTCCGGACTGCTTTGTGTCATGGTCGTTGCTCCGTCTGTTTTTTGTTTCATGGCCGTTGTTCCGTCTGTTTTGTGTCATGGCCGTTGTTCCGTCTGTTTTGTGTCATGGCCGTTGTTCCGACTGTATTGTTTCATGGTAGTTGCTCCGTCTGTTTTTGTATCGTGGTCGTTGTTCCGTCTGTTTTGTTTCATGGCCGTTGTTCCGTCTGTTTTGTGTCATGGTCGTTGTTCCGACTGTATTGCTTCATGGTAGTTGCTCCGTCTGTTTTGTGTCAATGGCCGTTGTTCCGTCTATTTTGTGTCATGGCCGTTTGTTCCGTCTGTTTTGTGTCATGGCCGCTGTTCCGACTGTATTGTTTCATGGTAGTTGCTCCGTCTGTTTTTGTATCGTGGTCGTGTTCCGTTCTGTTTTGTTTCATGGCCGTTGTTCCGTCTGTTTTGTGTCATGGTCGTTGTTCCGTCTGTTTTGTATCATGGCCGTTTTTCCGTCTGTTTTGTGTCATGATCGTTATTCCGTCAGTTTTGTGTCATGGTCGTTGTTCCGTCTGTTTTGTGCCATGGCCGTTGTTCCGTCAGTTTTGTGTCATGGCCGTTGTTCCGTCTGTTTTGTGTCATGACCGTTGTTCCTACTGTTTTGTGTCATGGCCGTTGTTCCGAATGTATTGTTCATGGCCGTTGTTCGTCCGTTTTGTGTCATGATCGTTGTTCCGTCTGTTTTGTGTATTGGCGTTGTTCCGTCTCTTTTGTGTCATGGCCGTTGTTCCGTCTGTTTTGTGTCACGGCCGCTGTTCCGATTGTATTGTTTCATGGTAGTTTCTCCGTCTGTTTTTGTATCGTGGCCGTTGTTTCCGTCTGTTTTTGTTTCATGGCTGTTGTTCCGTCTGTTTTGTGTCATGGTCGTTGTTCCGTCTGTTTTGTGTCATGACCGTTGTTCCGTCTGTTTTGTGTCATGGCCGTTGTTCCGACTGTATTGTTTCATGGTAGTTGTTCCGTCAGTTTTGTGTCATGACCGTTGTTCCGTCTGTTTTGTATCGTGGTCGTTGTTCCGTCTGTTTTGTGTCATGGTCGTTGTTCCGACTGTATTGTTTCATGGTAGTTTCTCCGTCTGTTTTTGTATTGTGGTCGTTGTTCCGTCTGTTTGTGTCATGGCCGTTTGTTCCGACTGTATTATTTCATGGGTAGTTGCTCCGTCTGTTTTTGTATCGTGGTCGTTGTTCCGTCTGTTTTGTTTCATGGCAGTTGTTCCGTCTGTTTTGTGTCATGGTCGTTGTTCCGTCTGTTTTGTATCATGGCCGTTGTTCCGTCTATTTTGTGTCATGGCCGTTGTTCCGTCTGTTTTGTGTCATGGTCGTTGTTCCGTCTGTTTTGTGCCATGGCCGTTGTTCCGTCTGTTTTGTGTCATGGCCGTTGTTCCGACTGTATTGTTTCATGGCCGTTGTTCCGTCTGTTTTGGTCATGATCGTGTTCCGTCTGTTTTGTGTCATGGCCGTTGTTCCGTCTATTTTGTGTCATGGCCGTTGTTCCGTCTGTTTTGTGTCATGGCCCGTTGTTCCGTCTGTTTTGTTTCATGGTCGTTGTTCCGTCTGTTTTGTGTCATGACCGTTGTTCCTACTGTTTTTGTGTCATGGCCGTTGTTCCGACTGTATTGTTTCATGGTAGTTGTTCCGTCAGTTTTGTGTTCATGACCGTTGTTCCGTCTGTTTTGTGCCATGGCCGTTGTTCCGTCTGTTTTGTTCATGGTCGTTCTTTCGACTGTATTGTTTCATGGTAGTTGCTCCGTCTGTTTTTTGTATCGTGGTCGTTGTTCCGTCTGTTTTGTGTCATGGCCGTTGTTCCGTCTGTTTTGTGTCATGGCCGTTGTTCCGACTGTATTGTTTCATGGCCGTTGTTCCGTCTGTTTTGTGTCATGATCGTTGTTCCGTCTGTTTTGTGTCATGGCCGTTGTTCCGTCTCTTTTGTGTCATGGCCGTTGTTCCGTCTGTTTTGTGTCACGGCCGCTGTTCCGATTGTATTGTTTCATGGTAGTTTCTCCGTCTGTTTTTGTATCGTGGTCGTTGTTCCGTCTGTTTTGTTTCATGGCTGTTTGTTCCGTCTGTTTTGTGTCATGGTCGTTGTTCCGTCTGTTTTGTATCATGGCCGTTTTTCCTTCCGTCTGTTTTGTGTCATGATCGTTGTTCCGTCAGTTTTGTGTCATGGTCGTTGTTCCGTCTGTTTTGTGCCATGACCGTTGTTCCGTCTGTTTTGTGTCATGGTCGTTCTTCCGACTGTATTGTTTCATGGTAGTTGCTCCGTCTGTTTTTGTATCGTGGTCGTTGTTCCGTCTGTTTTGTGTCATGGCCGTTGTTCCGTCTGTTTTGTGTCATGGCCGTTGTTCCGTCTGTTTTGTGTCATGGCCGCTGTTCCGACTGTATTGTTTCATGGTAGTTGCTCCGTCTGTTTTTGTATCGTGGTCGTTGTTCCGTCTGTTTTGTGTCATGGCCGTTGTTCCGACTGTATTGTTTCATGGTAGTTGCTCCGTCTGTTTTTGTATCGTGGTCGTTGTTCCGTCTGTTTTGTTTCATGGCCGTTGTTCCGTCTGTTTTGTGTCATGGTCGTTGTTCCGTCTGTTTTGTATCATGGCTGTTGTTCCGTCTGTTTTGTTACCGTTACACGGTGAGTTTTTGCTCACATGGTCGTTGTATCGCCTATTTTGTTTCGTGGTAGTTGTTCTGTCTGCTTTGTATCAAGGTCGTTCTCGTGTCTGTTTCGTTTTATTGTTATTGTTCCGTCTGTTTTTTAGCTCGACTATTCGATAAGAATAAGTAGAGCTATTGTAGTCACCCGAGCGTCGGCGTCGGCGTCGGCGTAACCACTTATGTTAAAGTTTTTGTAAGAGTTCAAATATTTTCAAAGTCCATTAACATATGGCTTTGAAACTTTGCACACTTGTTCACCATCATGACCCCAACCTGTAGACAGGAGGAGGTAACTCTATCAAGCATTTTGACAGAATTATGCCCCTTTTTCGACTTAGAATTTACGTTAAAGTTTTTGTAATAGTTCAAATATTTTCAATGTCCATTGACATATGACTTTGAAGCTTTGCACACTTGTTCACCATCATGACCCCAGCCTGTAGACAGGAGGAGGGAACTGTATCAAGCATTTTGACAGAATTATGCACCTTTTTCGACTTAGAATTTACGTTAAAGTTTTTGTAATAGTTCAAATATTTTCAAAGTCCATTGATATATGGCTTTGAAACTTTGCACACTTGTTCACCATCATAACCCCAACCTGTAGACGGGAGGAGGTAACTCTATCAAGCACTTTGACAGAATTATGCCCCTTTTTTGACTTAGAATTTACCTTAAAGTTTCTGTAATACTTCAAATATTTTCAAAGTCCATGGACATATAGTTTTGAAACTTTGAACACTTGTTCACCATCATCACCCCAACCTGTAAACTGGAGGAGGTAACTGTATCAAGCATTTTGTTTTTACTATCAAGCACTAAGAATAGTCGAGCGTTGCTGTCCTACCGACAGCTCTTGTGTATGATAGCCGTTGTTGCGTCTGTTTTGTTTCATGGTATTTGCTCCGTCTTGTTTTGTTTCATGATCTTGGATGTATTTGTATCATGTATTTTGCTCCGTCTGTTTTAGCATCAAGGTTTTTGCTTTGTTTGATTGACATCATGGATGTTGACCCGTCTGTTTTGTTTCATGGTAGTTGCTCCGTCTGTTTTTGTATCGTGGTCGTTGTTCCGTCTGTTTTGTTTCATGGCCGTTGTTCCGTCTGTTTTGTGTCATGGTCGTTGTTCCATCTGTTTTGTATCATGGCGGTTGTTCCGTCTGTCTTGTATGATTTTCGTTACACGGTGAGTTTTTGCTCACATGGTCGTTGTATCGCCTATTTTGTTTCGTTGTCGTTGTTCCGTATGTTTTGTGTCATGGCCGTTGTTCCGACTGTATTGTTTCATGGTAGTTGCTCCGTCTGTTTTTGTATCGTGGTCGTTGTTCCGTCTGTTTTGTTTCATGGCCGTTGTTCCGTCTGTTTTGTGTCATGGTCGTTGTTCCGTCTGTTTTGTATCATGGCTGTTGTTCCGTCTGTTTTGTATGATTTTCGTTACACGGTTAGTTTCTGCTCGCATTGTCGTTGTATCGCCTATTTTGTTTCGTGGTAGTTGTTCTGTCTGCTTTGTATCAAGGTCGTTCTCGTGTCTGTTTCGTTTTATTGTTATTGTTCCGTCTGTTTTTTAGCTCGACTATTCGATAAAAATAAGTAGAGCTATTGTAGTCACCCGAGCGTCGGCGTCGGCGTAACCACTGTTTCACAATGTGAAAGTTTTTGTAAGAGTTCAAATATTTTCAAAGTCCATTAACATATGGCTTTGAAACTTTGCACACTTGTTCACCATCATGACCCCAACCTGTAGACAGGAGGAGGTAACTCTATCAAGCATTTTGACAGAATTATGCCCCTTTTTCGACTTAGAATTTACGTTAAAGTTTTTGTAATAGTTCAAATATTTTCAATGTCCATTGACATATGGCTTTGAAGCTTTGCACACTTGTTCACCATCATGACCCCAACCTGTAGACAGGAGGAGGGAACTGTATCAAGCATTTTGACAGAATTATGCACCTTTTTCGACTTAGAATTTACGTTAAAGATTTAGTAATACCTCAAATATTTTCAAAGTCAATTGATATATGGCTTTGAAACTTTGCACACTTGTTCACCATCATAACCCCAACCTGTAGACAGGAGGAGGTAACTCTATCAAGCACTTTGACAGAATTATGCCCCTTTTTCGACTTAGAATTTACCTTAAAGTTTCTGTAATACTTCAAATATTTTCAAAGTCCATGGACATATAGTTTTGAAACTTTGAACACTTGTTCACCATCATCACCCCAACCTGTAAACTGGAGGAGGTAACTGTATCAAGCATTTTGTTTTTACTATCAAGCACTAAGAATAGTCGAGCGTTGCTGTCCTACCGACAGCTCTTGTGTATGATAGCCGTTGTTGCGTCTGTTTTGTTTCATGGTATTTGCTCCGTCTTGTTTTGTTTCATGATCTTGGATATATTTGTATCATGTACTTTGCTCCGTCTGTTTTAGCATCAAGATTTTTGCTTTGTTTGATTGACATCATGGATGTTGACCCGTCTGTTTTGTTTCATGGTCGTTGTTGCGTCTGTTCTGTATCATGGACTTTGCTTTGTCTTTTTTTTTTTTGCATCATGTTTTTTGCTTTGTTTGATTGACATCATGGTCGTAGATTCGTGTATTTTGTATAATGGTCGTTCTTGTTCTTGCGTCTATTTTGTATCTTATCAAATTCAATGACGGTAAGCAGTCAATGCAGGAATCTCAAAAGATATGCCTGGTATAATATATGACATTAGTGTAAAGCAAATTTGAAACTTGTCCATAGTATCACATTTAAAAAGCGAAAATGAAATCTCAGTTAAATAAAATATGTCATTGAACTTGAAGTTTCGAATGTCAGCTTATAAAAACAGGTTTCTAATCTAAATGGTCTCTTATGTATCTTAAATAGAATCTAGCATATATCCTAAAGTTGAATTCGAGCATGGGTAGGGGAGCGGGCTTTTATAGTTCCTTTTTGCACTAAACACCACTATGAAGTAAAGGAAAAAAAGTTTTAATCGTTTTATATATTTTAATACAAACATGTATTTGCGTTACAAAAACATAAAGAAGGACACATGGTGTATCAGTTAGCAACATATCCCTGTGGATAATTGATCACGTACCCACCCGGGCAACTGGGGGTTTTACAACATTTTCCTGCTGCAGGAGGGTCAAGGTGACACTTGTCGGGGAGATTCCATGTATAACATCTGTGAAATATTAACATATATCTATATTTATAAATGTACAATGTATATAAAATGTATATGGTAAATTAAATAAGAAACAAATTGGAAACAAATCTAATTTTGTTGTTAACAACAAAATGTAGGAAAGTGTAGTTTCTAATAAACTTTAACTACATTTTGGATAAGAATTATTGTAAAGGAGCGAAATGATGCTTTGATTCAAGGTGTATATGAAATGAAACACTGTTTCAAACTTAGAACATATGCATTACGTTCAAGACTGAATTTATGTTTCTAATTAATGATGATGGAAATAATCTTTGGGCATGAAAACAAATTTGAAAGATATATTTTAAAGACATGTTAGCGTTACATGCACAAGTCATCCTGTTATTATGTTACCACTGATATAAAGAAACGTATAATATAAAGTTAAGCATCATTGACTTACAAAGAGGAGCACCTATAATACCCTCTGTTGGCCTCTACACATGTGCACTCGTATTCACAACTGTCCCTCCATTTCTCGTCCTGTTTATATGTATTTCCCTTATAATAACACTCGTCTGCAAATATATAACCGTACCTTTTAAGTCAATATTTACAAAATAAAACGTTGCAACGGCTTAAAATTATAGCAGGAACTTTCAAGATGTTGTTGTTGTTTTTTTTCCGTCGGACAAGACATGTATTTATTAATCATCCATGCAGTTCCATATAAATGTACGAACCTAAGGTTACATTTCTTCCTTTGATGACATTTCACTTCAAAAACGCCCTAAACTACAATATGTTGGATAGTAGCTTTAAAAGAACGGCATAAAAACACCGTACGTGGTATCAACATGTTCAAATGCAACGAATAATAAGGGTCCTTTGATGAACTAACTTTTTAAATAAACTACATTATGCATATTTATGTGTATAACTAAAATAAAAGAAACTTACTGATGCCGGTAAAGCCAGTACTGTTGGTGGAAGTAGAGTTTGTATAATGTATGTGTATGCCATGACAGTCCGGATGTGAACAACATTCTCCTGGTGCACGGACCATAGAACATTCTTTTGGTACATTTATGTATGTTGGACATCTTTAAAATAAAACACATTCTTTAAGCCTTTGAAGAAAATCCTTATAATAACTGAGAATTCAAGAAAGAGTTTATTTTGCAAGTTTGAAATCATTTCGACTCTCCTTGTCAAATTTCAATTAATACAGAATTGAATTTACACATAATTATATACAATGTACAGTAAGTATCATATCTTCTAACTTACATATCCTGACACGTGTATCTACCAGATCTATCATCAATACACGTGCATCTAAAGTCACAGCCCTCGTCCCACGTGTCACCCTTGTGGTACACCTTTCCTTTGTAATGACATCCCCTCAGATTGTATATAACTAGATAGAGTAACGCAATTAAATAGAGGTTTTTGAGGAAATAACACAATTAAATAGAGGTTTTTGAGGAACTAACACAATTAAATAGAGGTTTTTGCGGAAATACAAAACTAAAAATTGAAAGCCTGAATAAAAACTATAAGTAAGTAATCAATTAAGATAGAACAGGTACGAGGACACACCTTTAATGACGTCATTAAAACTACTACAAATTATGTTTTTATGAGACTTCAAAATCTTACGGATGTGATTTACGGATTTGATTTACGGATGTGATTTACGGATTTGATTTACGGATGTGATTTACGCTTGGTTTGCACGTGACTTCTAGAATTAAATTTTTTCCTGTTGTTACTTCTAGAATGGAAGTTCTTGTTGTTGATACTCTTTTAATACTTTTATAAATTAGAAACATGAGAGTCTATATAATGGAGAAGATGATGATATAATTACTTCTAGAATGGAAACCCTATAAAATGATACTTCTAGAATATCGACACGTGTCTTGCACTAACACTTAAAATCTTCTTAGAATGCCGCCCATATTACTAGTACGGTATACATGTAGCTACTTGTTAACATGTCATGTATACAGATTTATAATATTGTACACATACATGTATATTGTAAATAATATCTCACATGTAGTCTGTGAATTAGATGGCGTATTTGTAGGAGCATGTGTGTGAGCGTGTGTCTGGGGAGCTGTTACTGGTGGCTGTGTCTGAGGTTCTGTTACCGGTATTTTAGTGGCTACAGTTGCTGGGGCCTTTGTTAATGGAGATCCTGTCATTGTTACATATAATCAAAAATCATAAAATATCTGCAGTGTTTATAATGCATAAAGCTAAAGGGGGGGGGGGGGATAAAAAGAGAAATCAGGTAAACACGAGAAGCCTTCTTTAACATTACGAAAAATAATAATCTGATTTAGATCATAATAAGATGAAAAACTGTGTCAGGTCAATGATAATTTGATATCTAATTAGTTTATTTACAGAAAATTGAAACAGGTAAGTGCGTGTATGTGTACCTGTATTTAGACACAAATCTCTGTTACAATTTTCTCCTGTACAACATTTATGGCATTGACTTGCTTGTCTCTCTACCAGACTGCGATACGTCTGTGGTGTACAACCCTGAAATTTAGTCCTTGTAAATATATAGTGCTATAATGGGGTAAGCAATCGCAACTTGTTGGCCTTTTCCGCCATTCATTGGTTAAAGATATCCAACACAGTAAGAATGCTTTTTGTCTACGTTACAGAAATAAAAAATAAACGTGTAATTCAGTTCTCGGTTACTGCTTGGAATTGTTAAACTTTTGACTGCAATGATGTAAAGTATTGAATTGAGTAAGGATAATCAATGAGAAGTACGTTATGAGTCAATTTTAACTAAACAGCCCTGCAAAACAAAACCATTTGTAGCTATGCAGCTACTGGACATGGGTCGAACTAACGTTCCCTGCATAAGAGCCGCATTCAACAAGAAATTACAGATTTTACTCGTGAAAAGATGCCTTGACATCCTGATGCCCATTTTCGTAAACCACCGACCTCTCGTTAAAGCATACTTATATTAAAGAATTCAATATGCAAGTTGGCAAAATTCAAATATCAACATTCAGGTGGCACTTTTAGTGGCAAATCTTCTATAACAACTTGCCCACAGCGTCTCTCTTTTCTTACACCCATATTGTTATTTCTATGTTGTCCTAAAAGTTATATTATTTAAACTTACTTGATCGGCACATCCTAGCTGGTACCTGAGCTCTCCAAAAACGTACTTTTCTCTTGTAAAGCATACCTTTAAATATAAAATTAATACAGTACCGAATGTTTAATAAAGTGCAACATGTCTAATGTACATGTGTTTTATACTAGTAAATAGCCTACAAGCTATCCGAGTTATGACCTTGTTTTGTTCATAGTACATGTACATGTATACTGAAACATTGTATATCAATCATATTGTTTTAATTCGTTGTTATTTTGTTAATATGTTATCAAATATGATGTAGACTGACTATGGTTTGTTATTTTTCTATTAATGTAAGTAATTTGATAATTGAAGACCATATAGACAATACAAGCTAGAGATAAGGCGACAGTGACAATGAACTTTAGTACGTTAAATAAGTAACATATATAAATTGTTCCTGGTTTAATCTCTGGGGCATACTGCTCTTATTTCTGTACTAGATTCTATTGCCCTTTCGGAAATGTCGACCATACTTTGTGCGTACACTTGAGTGTCAGAATTCAGTCTTCATATTGTCATATCTTCTACTTCAAACCATAAGGCAAAACTGAGTCCATTCGAATAACTGTTAGTCATACCCAACCTTTAATTATTGGAACAATGCACTATGGTAAAAGATTTACCTGTCCGTTAGCACACTCTGTAACCGCCCCACAATGTGTCGGATGTTCCACTGTGCTGCATTGTAAACATCTAGGTCCGTGTGTCGTTGGAGCTAAACATTGAAATTACTGTTTACATTGAAAAGTGAAACTAGTCGGTACAAATGTTCTCGTGCAGTTTAATTAGACTGGTCCGTCACTAACGTTTTTAATTGAACGAATCAAACTGCTGAATGATGTGCTCAAACAAGAGTAAAATAACACATACATTAAATGATAAGTAAGACTGAGATTTGTCCTCTTAATATACAAATCTTGTATTATGTTTTAAGAGTTTATCACAGAAAAATGTATTAATCAAATCTCTTTAGACTCCCAATGCAAATGTAAGAGTATATATGGTGCTTATATAGATTTCTTTTATGAGGGTACATTTTGTATATGTGCAAGGTATATAGTAATATATATTATATACGTACGTGGTCCATCACACAATTCCTTGTTACAATAATCAGCATGACAACATCTGTTACAGAAAGCTATATCACGTTTACCAAAACCAGTTGCTCCAGCGGGACAAGACTTTGAAAACAAAGTACAAAACTACATGTAGTTTAAATGTGAAAAAATCATCAGTTCATTTCCTTTCATTAAAATACGAATATATAATTGTACTTTATTGAAACATCCTAATTTGTTCATTTTGAATGAAATGTCCCTGCAAAAATGTAATACATGTATTTTGTTGTACCAAAACTGAATTACATACTTACCGCTTTGGCCATGCAACCCGTAACGTAGTAAAAATGTCCATCTGGTTGTGCATAACTTATCACGTGACACGTCTGAAAAACAACAATATCATTCATTTGAATGCTTAGCCTGAGGTCCTACCATAGGGCCTTGCAAAGGACACGGACGGGGCATTCAGGGCATAAATAACCCCGCATAGTACGTTTGACATATCTCCAGCTACTTCAAATGGTGCCAAATAAAACCCTCGTATTTACTCTGACACATGGGAGGTACAAAGATCGGAGGGAGAGAGAGATAACCCCCTAGTACAATAAAAATAATTAGCTTCTCTAGTTAACAATTGCGAGCACGGTTTTATCGAGTCTGTTGAAAGGCAGCGTAATTATGTACAACGCCCCGTAGCACCGGCTATAAGTTGGTATGCAATCTCTACACTAAAATTAAGTATTGGATCAATGAGCAGGAAAAATATTACAACACAAGGATGAAGTTCAAGGCCATTAAATTGATCCACACAGCACTTGACACCTGCTGTTTTGAGTATAAAAAAATAGAAAAGTGAAGAACCCTCGAGAGCAAATGAAAACAAAGCAATTAGTTGGAAGTTGCACACAGGCTTAAGAACAGTTGCCTCATTTTTCCCATTATGTCCCGGATAAGGCTGAGGTAACAAATGAATTGTGCTTTAGAAGTATAAACTATATTCATTACATTGTTATAAACTTATGTGATACTAATGAGCATTTTCTTTATATCACTTGTTCATTTGTGCACGAGTTATAAACGGTAATAAAATTGTAAACACATCATCTCCAAATTATACCATGTAAGTCTTTATGTGTCGTTCATATTAATCATCACTGTATACATTTGTATTTGAATTCTGCAAACAAATGAAAGACATTGTCATCTCTATCTTTATACATGTCTATTCTATTCAATGGCTTGTTCACGTGCACTCAATCGGTCATGATCTATAAGAAGGCACTTTTTTCATTATCAAAGTAACCTACCTCCCCTTCTTTACACTGAACCACTCTATCACAGTCACGTGGATGTGCGACATGGTCACATTTGTAGCACATTGTAGCATCTATTTAGAAGAAAGAAATGAGCCGTGTCACGACAAAACCAACATAGTGCGTTTGCGACCAGCATGGATCCAGACCAGCCTGCGCATCCGCGCAGTCTGATCAGGATCCATGCTGTTCGCTATCAGTTTTTCTACTTGTATTGTAGTTGGTAAGCCAACAGCATGGATCCTGATCAGACTGCGCGGATGCGCAGGCTGGTCTGGATCCATGCTGGTCGCAAACCCATTATGTTGGTTTTGTCGTGACGCGGCTCATTTAATCTTATCATTGGAAGTTTTAACGAAGCCTTAATGAAAGAAAACTGCTTGAAAGAAATGCACAATTTACAATGGACAAGGTTAGTCATCTATTAGTTTGACGATTAAAAATATTCAATTAGATTCATGTAAGATGGAGTCGATATCGATCCAACAATTTAATAATTATAGCGATAAAATGAATAACGTTGCAATACATTTATTGATATAAACATAGAGGTCATCATAGTAAATATATCATTTCGTTACTTAACAAAAGATGAGTACTGTTTAACTAACCTGTTTGTTCTAAATAACATATCAAGACTACTAACATAAACAGCAACACTGCAATATAAATATATAAAAAAAAGTTTGATTATAAAAAACAATTTACTATAACAGTGCAATTTAATTACGTCTGGGACAGAAAGATACATGTTAAGTCCCAAATTACGTATAAGAAAAAAAAGAGGAGGCCCTAATTATACAAAGAAAGATAAATTAACGTTCTTTAAATGCTCGTACTACGCTATATTTAGGAATCATACAAATGCTAATAAATCATTATTGAGTAACAAAACCATTTACTCGTGCATCAGTGATGCACGTAGCGCTGCCATGATGGTGATTTATTTACGGAAGAAAATAATTTCTAGCATTTAATTGATCTTAATTTAATTTGGCGTTCGAAAAATATCTTATTTACATATAATACCAAGAAAAAAATTGAAATGTAATAACTCACCTTTAAGGAACTCCATATTTGATAGTTATATACTAGTTTCTGACTGTATAATCTTTGTTATATTAGTTTCTTATCTTATCAGATAATGAGGGTGTAGTCTGTATAGGGCGTACGGGATGCACTTCTCTATATGAGCCGCGTCATGACAAAACCAACATAATTGGTTTACGACCAACATGGATCCAGACCAGCCTGCGCATCCGCGCAGTCTGATCAGGATCCATGCTGTTCGCTTACCAAATCTATAACAAGTAGAGAAACTGATAGCGAACAGCATGGATCCTGATCAGACTGCGCGGATGCGTAGGCTGGTCTGGATCCATGCTGGTCGCAAACGCACTATTATTGGTTTTGTCGTGACGCGGCTCATATATAGTTCAATATTAAATAAAAGGTCAGTAGGATTATAATATTGTTATCCTGGTAGAGTTCCATTAAAATAGTATACACATTATAATTGTTTCGTCGGTTTTTTAATTTGCAGTATATATTACGGCCTTACATTTGTCTCGAACATGCCGGAACAATATGAAAATATCATTAAATTGATACATTGAGATATATAATTTGTTCATCTAATGACTCTGGGACATAATATACAACTTATATTCTGTCCCAGAATGACTCAAGAATGCTTAATTTGTTTCTTTAATTTATGTATTTGGTGTTAGACTGTTAGTGTAGACTGGAAAGACGACATATGTCTTCCTAGTTACAGATCTATGCAAAGCTAATGAATTTAGGAATAGTTATGAAAATGACAGCTATAGTAAAGCTGTTAATCTGTATGAGAATAGCCTTTATTTTAATGAAAACTGTGTGAGCACTTTCGAATATAATATCTCGTTGTCTTGTAAAAACTTTTGTTATTTCGTAAATTTCAACCATAGACACTTGGTGTGGAGCTCAAAACGCCTTTTAAATCCAAATAAAATGCAATATTAATATTGTGTGCAGATATATATTCTCTATTCTTTATCTTAATCTAAACTTTATTTAAATATTTTTGTCTCTTTTTTCTTCGAAACATAACAAAATCATCTGAAAAAAATACCTAAATTGAATACTAGTTAAAAACAATATTTTACTTTGTTATAGAAATTGTTTGGAGTAATCTCCCAATATTATGAAACAATCTTGAAACAAAATTTTTCTTATTCTACTACTCTAGATAATAATGTTCTAACAAATTTATTCATTTTAATTATCTATCTGACTTCCTTTTTTTCTGTATTATTCTAACCAAATATGTGCATATTTTTATTGCAAGTTCCTTATGTTTGGAAAGGAATTTACATAAAACACATTTGACTTGTTTTCCAATCCTTACTGTATATTTATGTTTAAAATGGAAATAAAATATTATTTAAACTAAATAAAATGCATATTTGTGAATCCAAGCACATGTATCTTACTTAACATATATATATTTCATATTTCAACACAGACACTTGAGGTATGGAGCTCAAAACGCCAATAAAATCCAAATAAAATGCATATTTATTTGGATTTCAAAGAGTTTTAGTATATACCAAACGTGATTGTTTAACATTTTTCCTGCTAATCATTGTAAAACAGTACCATGAAGATGTGATACAATGTAAATAACATGTAAATGCTATATACGGTTAACTGTATACTCATTTAGTTGTGTAAGACCTATCTAAAATGCAAATTCTCACAAAAATATCATATTACAGTTGCAAACATGGCTGCGCCCATGCGAATTGCAAAATCAGTTTCTTTAAATCGTTGCATTTCCTGTGTTAAATCGGCATTGTCACTTCAAATGCCAGTTCAGACATATTCTAAAATGAAATATTTTTTGCATCAACAAAGGAGAACATTTCGTCTTTGCACAAGTAAGTTTTATGTAGCCGAATATTTAATTGACAAGTCAAATGACATTGGTTTCGGCCCACTTTCTTTTCGGCCTGTATATTTAACACTGTTTAATTATATAGTAAATTTTTAAAGTCAAATTTTGATTACACATTCACTGTTGATGAATATAGATTTAAACATCGGCACTTTCCATGACAATCGTTGCATGATATATATTGCATTTCGTGAAAAATATACAACAAAAACTGATGCTGAGCAGGATATACTGGTGATACAAAAATCGTAGTAACTGAAAAATTAGTTTTAATGCGCTCACTCCCAAAAATATTATTGTTACACATAAATAAATGGCGCAATAGCTGTGTTTCCTAACCACTGACAGTCATTCCTGAGGTCCCGGGTTTGATCCTAGGTAACACCCTTGGGATTTTTCAGAGACACTATCAGTGTTTCCCACCTACCTAGAGATGTCCTGGTAAGAAATCCAGGTAATCCTCGCATCTATCAGTGCTATGCACTGGGCATGTAAAAGAACCATGGGTCCTATTCAATAAGAGCTAGGGACTGATTCCCTTATTCCCTTGTATCTCATAGCTGTCTGTGAAGTCTTAATTGTCATGTCTATCACAGTCCAAGTCAAAATATATTGATGTGCCAAAGCAAGATTCTGGGATATTTTTGTGCTGGGTCAGAATCTCGCTTTTATGTCTTTGAGGCAAGATATTGCCCTGAAACAAAATAGCACAAACCTTGTCGCGTAGTACAATTAGTTGGACTAGTCTAATAAGTCAATGTCCCCGTGAGGGGTTTGACATTAATGGGAGATACATGTAGATAGATAAATACACATATATTTGGCTTGTCGCACGATTATGGAAATCCAGAACATTAAATAACTCTTAGTTATGTCAGGCCTGATACTGAAATTACCCATTTTGTATGATGATAAGCAGTTCCTTAATACATAAAATAATTATAACCTATTAATAATTATACAATGTTATAATATTGTGACAGTTCTATTTTTCATTTATAAACGAGGATGGAAGGACCATTTTACCAGAGGTAAATAAATGTATTTCAGGAAATACAATGTGAACTAAATGCTGGTATCTAGTACCAGATATTGTATCCCCCCACATTCACTTGCAATGATGTGCTTGTATTGGTGATATTTTACTCGTTAAAGAAATGAAATAATATAAGTTCTGATATTTAAACAAGTTTTAATAATATTGTCCACTTATCTGTACAAATGTGGACTTCTTGAAAAATCCTGTTTTATATGGCATTGCATCAAAGGAGACAAGCCCCAAATGTTTACAAGATCAAGTTTTGACAACACATTGTCTGTAGAAAGTGATTAAAAAAGAAAACTTCTTGTACCTACCGCCAAACTGACACTTAGAGTGTGTGTAATGCTTAAAGAACACAAGTAAAAATCAAGAGTTTTTATGAAAATAACAGGTACTACTTTTGTACACGAAATACTCAAACTTGATATGTCTGTGATTAAATTATGGTCACTATGTTATATCTCAAAATGGTGTCCTTTATTACAAGAGCTAGTCAAAATATAAGATTTGTCAAAGCGAGATTCTGAAATATTTTTGTTCTGGGTCAGAAACTGGTTCCTACCAATGCCATTGTGGCATAGACAACAGAATCTTTTGTCAGCTATTCCTGCAACGCATCCTTATTAAAGAGTTCTAAATACTTTCAATTGTAGAGGGGAGATATTGCACATATACACAAAATAGCACAATTTCACATTGTGTAGAACAGTTAGTCAGTTTACTTGACACTTCTTAGGTTAGTCAGTTTACTTGACACTTCTTAGGTTTGTGAATTTTGTGTGATGAGTAAAAACACATTCGCTTTCTTTCATACAAGGTCATACTATGAAGAATCTTCTAGAACATTGTATGATGTTTAAAGCACATAAACTGTATTGTATTGTATTTAATTATAAAGTAGGGAGTTATGAATTCAACAAATTCCTTGTTTGAAGTAAACATTAATTTCAAATTTGTATTTTGTTGTATATTTTCAGACCCTTTACTACATGGAGAGTATGAATATCAGGAACCTAAATCAGATGATGAAATGTATGTTTGAATTACTCTTTATAATTTTATTTCAAAGTTCAGTAATAAGTTAGTTTCATAAAAATTAAATAAATAGTTACTAAATCAGCTTATATCATTGTTATCAGTCCTTCAAAATTTAGTGAAAGAAGTAAATTTCCAGGCACACTAATACATAATTTTTGCATTTATTTTAATGGCATTATTTTGTTATATTTGTTGTCAAAGTATCAGAAAAAGGTTATTATAGGGAAAAATGTGTTATCAGAGCAGGATACTTTATATGTTGATCTGAATTTTTCATGTAAACACATTTTCATTTTTAGTGTAAATATAACCTACATAGATAGAAGTGGAGAAAAAATTGCAGTAAAGGGAAAAGTTGGTGATAATGTGATGTACCTAGCTCATAGATATGGTATTGAGTTAGAAGGTAAATATTTCTCTTTTGAAATATATATATACATGTAATGTGAATTTGAACAACAATAAAAAGAAAATATGATTAAAATTAAAAAAGTCTTTCACTCATTTATTGAACAAAAAAATATTATCTAATCTCGCATCATGCTTTATCAACTTGATTGTGTAGATTTGTAATGCAGATGATGCAACAGAAAATGTTGACATCAAGTTTTTATGTACATGTGTATTTGGGTCATTAAACTAAACCAGAAACTTACAAATCTTGAAACAAAAACGAAATATTCTTTTTATTTTGTGTCTAGCCAGCAGTGATTTTTTTTACTTTTTTCACAACAACCCATACCCCCTAAATTGTGAAGTTTTAGCACAATAATCTATCAAATTGTGAAAAAATAAACAAGAATAAATCATCACCTGTAGTCACTTTATTCATACATTTAATAATTATGCTCATAGTTTCAGCTTTTTTCTTTTTATTCCGTAAAATATATCAATAAAATTCTCAAGATTGTCATTTATCAGTTCATTATTTTGTTTGGTACTGAAAAGCAATCCTGGCAATTGTGAATTTTTTTACACATTTTTGTGAATATTTTATGTTTTTTTGGCATTGTAAAGAGGCCTTATTTCGGGGTCAAAATCAACCAAAAAAAAACCACTGGCCAGTATGATAAATTCAAGGTTAAAGTAGTCTGACACACACATGGAGATTTAGCTATTAACTTTAGTGTTATGTTTGTTTTAAAAAAGGGTCATAGATTGATGTGTAGTTTTATCTTTATTAGAAAACTGACAATACTTGCACATGATATGCTATATTTACTGCATGTATTACATGCACAAATATGACTTGACAGCAATAAAGTCAGAATTGAATATAAATGTGATCAGAAATGATCTTTCTGCTCATTATACTTGTAAGAATATCTTGATAATTATAGTACTTTATTTGACTGTCTTAGATTTAACATTATAACAAATCACTCTTGGCACTTATACACCTTGAAAGATACTGGATTGGTAAAATCCACATGAGTCAAATATAGGTTTCAGACCAAGATTCTCTTATAATAACCCTATAGTTTATCACATAACAAAACTTCAGCATTGTTCACCTATTATAATATTGGTATAATATATAATTGATATTGCAGGTGCTTGTGAAGCTTCTCTTGCCTGTTCTACATGTCATGTTTATGTAGATGAGAACTATTTTGATAAAATACAAGATCCAAAGGAAGAGTAAGTGACTCTTATTATTATTATGTTACAATATTTTAACATGTGAAAGGAAACTTAGTATTTGAAAATAACAGATGTTCATAATTCTGCCGAAAATCATCAAAAAAAAAATGATGACAGTATGCCCACCTTCCAACATTTACCAATCAAATTATATAAATACCAGAGGTAAAATAATTACAACACTTAATCTTCTTAATCAGGTTCTTTTATGCCATTATGTTTGTCATTATTGTAAGTAAAACAAGATTTTTTATTTGTAGAAAAATTATAAATTGTAAGTTGAATGTTTGTTTGAATGTTTCAGGGAAGACGACATGTTAGATATGGCACCTTTTTTGAAAGTAAATTCAAGATTAGGTTAGTTTGTTTGTTAGCACAATAATGTATATTCATTTTACCTAGTTTGTTTTAGTATGTTTTGATGCTTCTGGGTAGTAGTAAATACAACTGAAGTTTATATAAAAGACTTCCCATACATGGAATACATTTTGTGAGACAAGTCGGTTAAATTGTATCATTACTAATGCTATGTGTATACAAGATTAAAAGTATTTCGTCAAACATTTGCTTGGTTCTTAACTTTGTATATAATAAGAATGGATACCTGTTCTTCATGTTGTTGATGTTAAAAAAATAAATTAACAGGTAAATAATTTATGTATATTTGTAGGTTGTCAGATTGTACTATCTAAAGACCTGGATGGAATAGAAGTAAAATTACCTGCTGCAACTCGAAACTTTTATGTGGATGGTCATGTACCACAGCCTCATTAATATCTACTAACTATTATGAACAGAATAAGATAACGATTCCGTTTTATGTATCACCCTACCCATAGCTTCCCCTATATACATGTATAAGGTGGTAAAGTTTATGGATGTAGATTTGTATCAAATTTAAAGTTGTCTGCATGTTTTGTTACTGGAGTATTTTTTATCAAATTATCTAAAGGGACTCCACTAAGGTTTTTTATGTATGGCAAACTGGAAATATGATTTTGAGATTTGTTTACCAATTCTTATCTGTCTGGAACATTTAAGCTTGTGTGCAAATTTTCAGCCCATTCCCTCAACCTGTAGATCCAGAATATTCATTTTATTGCAACACCTTTCATCCAAATCTGGCTATGAAAAGCTCAAAAATCATTTTCAATTTAATTTGGAGTATATTCCTTTATTATCCTTAAAGATTTTTCGATTTGAAGTCCTTCAATTGATATTTGTAAGATTTTCAATTTGAGCCGTGTCATGACAAAACCAACATAGTGCGTTTGCGACCAGCATGGATCCAGACCAGCCTGCACATTTGCACAGTCTGATCTGGATCCATGCTGTTCGCTATCGGTTTCTCTTCTTGTAATAGAGATGGTAAGCGAACAGCATGGATCCTGATCAGACTGCGCGGATGCGCAGGCTGGTCTGGATCCATGCTGGTCGCAAACGCACTATGTTGGTTTTGTCGTGACTCAGCTCATTGCGTTTTTAGGACTTTGAACTTCAGTGGAGTTCCTTTCAAGTCATAGAAATTAGTTTAATATATTTAAAACAAAATAAACCAAAAATACTATACATGTATAGTTTGCAGAATTTTTTTTTGTCGATGTGATTCAACATACTTACCAGTAGATATTGCATTAATTTCTACCTCATAAGTTAAGATCTTGTTTTTATGAAAAACAAAACAAAAACGGTCACTTGAAGTATGTAATTTTAGACTGGAATCTTGGGTACAATTTTGCTTGTCAGACTCAAGTTCCTTTTATAGTAGGAGGATGTTTAATGACTTATTTCTGTTGTAGCAATGACAACTGAATCTAGTCAGAAATTGACAATCTCATGTGGACGAATTTTAGGAAATATGTATGTTGATTACAGATTCTATAGTCATTTCACAGATACTTTAGATGGTGATAAGAATAGAAAGAATTTTAAACAATAAATTTGTTTTTAGAAATCAAAATACTGTAGAAAGTATTTCAACTGTATCAAAAGTAAGATTTATGAATTGAAAATTTTGTCTCTTACATTTACAACTGAGAGCTTGAACATGCTTTTTGGTTTTCTTACTCCACGAGTCTTACTTTTTTAATCTGTGATTTATTTTGGTTAGTTTGTGTACTTTTATATATCACTTGTTAATTTAAAACATGTACAATATGGGTACAGTTGTTTAAATTGTTTTGAAAGGATCAACTATGTTTTCAGTAAACAATTTAGCTTGTTCCATGATGGTATTGTGCAGTGTAATTTTAATTTGATTTATTGAAGTTATATTGTTGCATTTATCATATGTTTGTTTATATGGTTAATAAATTGCTATATATATTTTTGTGAGTTTATCTTTAATTTCTGTATCAGTCATGTTATTTCTACATATCCATATGGTAGCAGATGTCTTAAAATGCCAATAGTAGTTGTAATCAAAGCTGGTCGCTCGAGTTCAAACCCAGTCAGGGGCAAGCCATTGTTTCCTTGAGTAAAAAACTTTACACTCATTGCTTAGTACTGGTTGGTTCCAGGAAAGGATTAAAGTGTTTCAATAAACTTCTAGCTTCAAAAACAATCAAACTAAAATAAATCCATACAAACTAAAATGCCAATACATGTACTTGATTTGATTACTCAATTATTTTGGTCACATTTTTTCAAGAATTAAGTTAAATTTGAATTAATAACCGCCATATTTATTTAATCACATGAGGTACTCAGGTAGTTTCAAAGCTTAATGACAAGGCCACAAATAAAGAGATATAAACACAAAAATGTAAAGTTTTATAAATAATTTATTAAAGGAAAATAAATAAGAGATGGCACATGAATATTAAAAACAATTCTACTTTAAGTACCATTTTAGATTTTTCTAATCTCTAGTAAGTACATGTAATACATTTAATTTCTAATAAAAATAATAAATCATCAAAATTTAGCTGCCTTAACATGTATAAAGCTATATCTGTTGAAATATTTTATAAAAACTCAAAAACAGTAAAATGGTAATTTTCATAGCTTAATGCTGGTTTCTTAAAAGCTATAGAATTTCTATGTAATTTTAATATACTCGTAAAAGAGTATTTTTCCTAAACTAAATAAAAAGTTCTGTAACAAAATATTCTGCTCCTATCTTAAGTAGATTTGGCGATGATCCCACCACTGACTTTGAATAAGAGATACTGACAAATTTTCTTTCATTCTATGGTATTCTGTAATCATTTTAATCACAAATAAACGATAATTTTACAACCCTCAGACAGCAAATGTATAGCTTGATATGCTTTAATTTCCTGGCATGACTCAATTATATTAGAATAATGAAGTAACATTACTGTTCACAAATTGCTAATATTTATTGACAGATATTTTTCACTAACAAATTATTGACAGATACTGCATATACTTCACACAAATATTTTCATCTTACTCTACAATAACAGAAAAAGATTTTTTTACAACAAAAAATGTGCATGTATGCTGGCCCCATGGAAATAATCAAAAGTTAACATTTTGATACTTTTGTATGATCAACAATTAACAACATAATCTATGCATATGCATGGTTTAAAAATACATACTACAACATAATTTTGGTTAGTAACAATAGTAGATGCAAGTTAATGTCTTCAAACAATTGCACTACAGTTTATGAACCAACTTTGTTAATAATGAATAAAACTTTGACATGTTTCAAGATGTAAGTATTGGTTCAAATGCACGTTCGTTAATGACACCACCTTCTTCCATACACTGTTTAACCCATGCTGGTGTAACAATATGAAACTTTTTATGTCTTGTTCTGCGTTCTTTCTTCAACTCTGATAATCTGCTGAGATCACTGAAATATAAAATTCACAACATGATAAATATACATTAGTGGCTGAAGAGTTTGGATGTGCTTAACTTTTATCCTGCTGGCAGCGACCAGTTCTGATCAAGATATAGCCAGCACATCTGTGTCAACTGATCATGGTCTGCACTATTGGCTATTCAGTAAGTACTTATATTGAAATATTGCCTAAAAATGATCAATGGTTTTGTCCAGATTGAAAGATAGACATGTCCACTTAGGTTGTTAAACATGGTATTTTAGGGTTAATAAGGAGATATTCTGCAATAATGATCACAAAACATATAATAATTGTTATTATTTTACATAATAGATGTCTTTGTATCACCAATAAGCAATAATTGTACAAACCTTTCATCCACCATTACATGAGAGACATCTGCTGTAAGTTTATTCGACATGTCTGCTCCAAAGAACCGTAACTCTAGTGCCAGTAAGTCTAAACTACTGTCTTTTATATGAGTTGATCTGTCTCCCACTACTAAGTTATTGTCGAGGTAAATTCTGAAATATGCAAGCAATGGCTTGAAATAAAATTGAAAAATTCAGACATATTTCTAAAAGTCGGTGATAGCATTAATCCATATAAAACGTAATAGAAATCAAATTTAAACTATAGTAAGTCAGTGGTAGGATTAATCCATGCGGATTATCTGAGCGGATATATAACGCTCGACTCGGGAACGACATTGTGTACGTATGTTAATGAAATAGAACAGCCATGATGTTCCGAGTTAAGTGATTTTAATATCCCATGTTTAGGATTACTGAAGTGTAGTGATTGAAGGGCAGATAAAGAAGATTTGTTAATGGTAATGAAAACCACATACAAATCAAATGTCAGCATCTGTAATGCATTTTAACCTGGGTAATGGATATTTACCAAAATGACAATTCACCAAATGGTTTTACAAACACCAAACCCTTTGATATAGGCTGTATTTTGAAGAAAAAAATGACCATGTCAATTATGAAATATAACTAGATGTTAAGTATTTAAAGTAATGTAACTTACTTGCACGTTCTAAAAAGACCATATGGAGACTCATCAGGGAAATATTTATCTTCTATTTCAGCTATCTCTGTTTTACTAAGGACTTTATCAGGTTCCTACAATATAAACATTCATAACTATCACCATTATAGTGTGTGTCTAATACCTAACAAAACATTTAGTGGTCTAAATCCAAAATATGTAACACAAGCGATTTTTTATTTGAAAATTGTGACAACTAAAAATAAAATCAATTTGTCCCTGGCTGATTGCCCTGACACACGAAACAGCAAAGTCAACATCAAAAATTACTGTACAAGTGTAATACATGCAGTAATATGCTTGTTAAATAGTAACCATAATAGTTCTGAACTACAAAAGTCTGGCTATGAACTACCTGGAAAATAAACTAAAGGGAAGCTTGCATAGTAAGGCCCTTCTCATTCAAAACAATATTTATTATGTTATGATTATTTCTTGAGATATGAAATATCTGTCATAACTGACTGCATTGAAGTTTTATTAAACGGTCATAATGTTTTACTTTTTCATCTTTTTACTGTGGAATGCATTTTTTTCCTTGATCAAGTTTTGAGAATAACTTATATAATAAACTTGTCTACAACATCCATTATATGATATCAATCATTTAAAGCATTATAATTTCAGATATAGAGGGTCTATATTTACCTGTATTTTAGCGAGGACTTGAGCCAATCTTTCTGGTGTTGTCTCCTCAACATAACTGTCACCATACTCATCAAAATCTTGTTGAAATAATTTCTGTGTCTTCTCGGAAACATTGATCATGTCTCCAGGTGACCTGTAAACACATTAAAATTCATTTATTTGAACAAACAGAAAGAAAAAGTTACAATCAATATTTTTTGTATAAGCTACTGTTTCAACAAGTGGCCATGAACACAATACCAAACTTTACAATACAGCTTCAAAGAAATGTCAAGATAACAAAATGTTTGACATGGTACAACTTACAGTCACAATATATGGATAACAGACTGACTAATCCTATTATTTCCTCTAAATATACTGGCCCAATTAAAAGCATCTAGTGCCACTGCTATAATGTTCTTTTGTAACACTGCCTGGGAATGAATCTGAAACCTCCAAATACAAGGCCAACTCTATACCACAGGTACATGTACATCATGATCATAGGGACAAAAAACAGAGCAAAAATTCTCACCATTCACTGCAAAATTAAAATAGTAAATTCCCAAAAAGGATTTCTTGAACGATTTAAAATCTGAGTATTCAGTACAATATCTAAATACTTTAAACAAAGAAATGCCTTTAAAATGTGGAGAACAATTTAATACATACCATGGTATCAATGATTTGGCATCTAGACATCTTATTAACCAATCAGCTTTGACAATATCATAGTGGTTTGTCTTGATCATGTTGTTTACCCTGAATACAATCTTTTCAACAACTACACAATATGTGCCAATACCTACACAATCAATTAATACATACACAATAAATTACAGATATGTCAATTTCTACACAATAAATAATATATTATAATAATAATCATATTGTGAATTTCTATACATATAAATATTTGTTGACGATAACTAATGCCCATCTGATACATTCTATGTTCACATGTTTCCAATAAACACAAAAGCTATACTTCATCAAAGCTACTCTTTTGACAATTAAATTTACCAGGATGAGTCTACTTGCAAGCAATCTTCCTAGGACAACAAAATTTGAACATTTCTCATTACAATAAATTTTTCAACACTAGCACCAACCATTAATGATCTGAAGATGTAGAAAATTCAATTTACATATTATTGTCCTCTAATATTTTTATTTTGTTAACTGTGATAAACTTGTAAATTGATATAAACAAACCTGGATTTTGTACCACTGAGCCACCACATTCTACAATTTTCTTCTCTAATTCTTGTTTAGGACATGAGGATGGTCCATTTATCACACATATCTCCTTGCCCTCCAATAGTTTAGACACCTAATAAATGTACAATATACAATTCAAGCATATTTCTTTTTTTTGCAAAAACAATACATGTATAGATTAACAAGGGTATTTCAGCTCTTGATATTTAGATGATGTATATAACAAAATGGTACATTCAAAGTTAATCTCATATTTGGAATTATTCAGATGGACAATGCACTGATTTATATGTATAATATTTGTCAATGTCTGGTATACTTTGATAAGATTTCATTTGTTAAGAAACAGATGCTAATCAGTTCTAGAAATTTTTTTGACATTTGGTTAAAACAAAAGAAATTTGCCAGGATGTTCTTTTCCAAAATTGCTATGGGCATTGGAATTCCTTTTGGACGAGGCAAGCAGTGGTTTCTAAATACAAATCAATTGTCATAATGTAATAAGCATAGAAAAGAGAGGCAACTCTTCAGTACATATTGAAAATATTTGCAGTATGGGCTGAGGAGTTGTCTCACCTTTCATTATGTTTTAGTCTCTTTTAATTCTTTGACCTTTATGATTTTGTGATTTACAATTTATAGTTGAAATGTTGTATATGTTTTGTATGGATGAGACTTTAATCAAGATTATATATATACCTGTATATGAAACATTTTATTTGCAAATACTATTTTTTTTGTTAGTTCATCTTCCAACATCACTACAACTTAAACATATTTCTCTGTGAAATATATACACAAACAATCAAACCATGTATCACTTCATAATAGATAAATTTGTATATAAAAGTCACATGACACTCACCTGTTGTACAGAAGAAGTATCTGCAGCACGGAACTGACTACCTAGGGTGGGCCTCACTGCACGAGACACAATTTTTCTCTTTTTCTTAGCTGGTTCTTGCTCTTCTCCTAGTTCAACATAACCACCAGCTAACTTACCACCAGATTTCTGTAATACATGTACATCATCAACTACCTGATCTATACTGTTAGTTCAACATAACCACCAGCTAACTTACCACCGGATTTCTGAAATACATGTACATCATCAACTACCTGATCTATACTGTTAGTTCAACATAACCACCAGCTAACTTACCACCAGATTTCTGTAATACATGTACATCATCAACTACCTGATCTATACTGTTAGTTCAACATAACCACCAGCTAACTTACCACCAGATTTCTGAAATACATGTACATCATCAACTACCTGATCTATACTGTTAGTTCAACATAACCACCAGCTAACTTACCACCGGATTTCTGAAATACATGTACATCATCAACTACCTGATCTATACTGTTAGTAAAACAGGTGAGGTTTCATTTATTCTTAAGTAACTTCTTGGTACAGCACTGATATTGAAACCAAATTTCTCATTGACACCAGATATTATAAAATTAAGAATTGACAAGTATGACCAACCAAAAGAATGAACTCAGAACTGGTACCTGTTTTAATTGTTCTATTTATATAATAAATTAAGTATTGACTGGTACATTAATATGATAATAATTAAAGAATGGATAGGTCCTTGTTTTATTTGCTCTACTAATGTAATCAATTAAGTAAAAATGTATCTATAGGACATTGATGTCCCCAAATTCCGATGTTTTGTCAGTCTGCAGACAGACGAAGGGACAGCCTGGCGGACAAGGACAAAGTTATATGCCCCCGTAACTTGGGGCATAAAAATTGGCTGTTACTTGTTTCAGTTGCTGCATTAATTAAGTCAATCAAGAATGGACTGGTACCTGTTTTAATTGCTCTATCTCATCTGTTGTCATACAGTCATACCACTCTTTGTCATCACGGAACTTCTCTACCCTCGGGAATCTTAACGTTGACCCTGTCCGAAATCTATCACTGTCAATAATTTCTGCTGCTTTTATCTACAGCACAAAAAAATACAAGTAAATGTTCTATTCTAATAGCTCATGTATCATAAGAATATAGGCAAAAACTTCAAGATACTAAATTGGAAAAAATATATTACTATCTTATTTATTTATTAATAATAATAATCGACTACTTCAAAGTCAAAATAAAGATGGCTAATTTAAATATTTGATTTTAATCTAGATGTAAAAAAAACAATACATAATCAGCATTTGTGGTTCAAAACATATCCAAGAAATGAAATGAATAGACATACACATAAACGATACATAAATATTTAAACTTTAAAATCATCAAATTGTGTGCCCTTAAAAAAACATCACGAAGTTATTGAAGTTTTGAAAATTATGGTGGCAAGGTGAAATTTCATTATCCTGTCAAGAAATATTTAACTCCATAAGAATGAAGGCTGTAAATTATCTAATAAAGTTGTAAGTTGAAATTATCCACACAGGGATTAAATGGCTGACAGAACAAAATTAATATGATCTAAAACTACTGATATTAATGCATTAAGTCTTGTAATAAGATTTTAGAAGTTTTTTTTCAGAAACACATACATTGTAGTTAATTAAACTAACTTACAAATGTTGCTGCCTTAAAGAAAACTTGCTTTGAACAGACATGCATTTGAAATAACAAAATTTTGTCTATGCTGAGAAATTCTTCCTATTGTATGTCCCAAAATTCATCATAGCATCTTAGAAAATAATCACATTTTAATATCATACCTGTACTATTGCAGACTTGCTTGGTTCTATCCAAGCATCAGGTTTCTCCTTGAATCCACTTGCTAGTTCTATACATTTGGGTGGATTCTTCTTGTCAAATGCTTGCCAATGATCCACTAACTTTGCATTGAAATCTTGAAGCTCTTTCTTGGAATAGCCTGACCCTATCTGTATATACAGAACATGACATCAAACACAAGCACTGATTTAAATTAAAGATAACCATGTTCAAACTAATGGACATTTTCAGTCAAAACAAGAATGTTTCTTATTAAATTCAGACTATAAGAGAAAAGTTGTGAAATCATAAACATTATAATAACAGCAACAAAAACATAAACATCTTAACTTAATTCAAAGAAGCTTTCATATAAAAATACAAGAAGTTTATAAATTTATGAACAAACTAATATCAAGACCTTTAAACATTTTCAATTCCCATTCTGTCTGTCTGTATAGGATATCGACCGAGTACGAGGTCTTTCTGTTTAGGAAAGACCTGGCAACGAATTTCATGTGACACCGAGAGCGCATAGCGCTCGAGGTGTTTCATGAAACTCGTGATCAGGTCTTTCCTAAACAGAAAGATCTATGTACGAGGCCGATATCCAACTTTCACACCGTCAAACTATTGGCTTGAGCAATGGCTGATCCGAAACATTTGATGTAATGCACAAAGATAAATTTTTAACACAGCGCATAAACAGGTAAGCTTTTATCAATGTTCTGCTTAAATTTAGTATATATTTTGCATTTAACTTTGTTTTTTCCTTTAAAATGATAATAAAAAGGCTAAATGTGCAATTTGTCAATAATAAAAATAAAGTGAATAGGTCTATAATTGAATTTATGTAACAGAATGCATCTAGGACATTTGCCACACACCCCGAACAGTTTCCCTCTCGGATGTTTGCCCCTTTTTTGCTGTGGCGACTTGTAACTTGTCAGAGGTCATCTCGTATATATATTTTATGTATTTTATTTTTTTTAAATATGGATGCTAATTTGTTTTCACAAATTTGCGCGAGAGTTTTTGTTTATTGAAGCATTAGAATTTCGACAATAGGCGATGAATTTTATTTTTTTACAACAAACAATTCAAAAATTATATTTTTTAACCATTTTTAAAACATGGGGGGGATGGCAAATGTCCAACCCTTCAAAAGATATGATACCCAGCAGACCACGAAAGACTTACATATGTATATTGTTGCATGACAAGTGTAAGATACATGATCCGAAATTATTTTTTATATAACAGATTGTAGAGTGTTCTAGAATAAAAATGATCGCTCATCATATAAATGTTTATACTAAATCACTTAAACTTTATATTAACATTTCTTTTTCTAGATTTCTTTTGATAATATCCTGATCGGTTTTGTCGATATTTAATTAACTAATGGGAGATGTGTCCATTGTAGACCAATCCACTTTGAGTACTTGTATCTGCTTGTCACTATAAGCAAGGTTTGGATTATATCTTTAACGTTCTTTGAACCTAAGCCCTGGATTCGAAGGTTTTCAGGAGAAATCAGTTTTAATTTTTCGCGGGTTGAATAGAAAGGCAGGATAAAGCCTAACTAAAAGAGGGGGGAACGGGGATTTAACAATCTGATTGATCCCGAGGATGGGACTGTTACCAGGGACTTTTCTATGAACTGTGGGTAGCTGCGGTTTCCCAGAGCGTACATGTATATCAAATGGACGTTATTTGAATCACAAATGAAACTGGCATATTTTTGTTATATTTTTTCGATATGAATGTTTGGTACAATTTATATGTACTATGATTTTTTTATGGATGTGATTTAGAATCGTGATTAGTATGCGATGATAACTGTTATACTTTCATAGAAATGTAAGAAAACTTAAAGCATCCATTTTTGTTATAATGTGAACTTAATAATAGAAGAAGCGCTTAGATTACTATTACTTTAAAAAATGACGCGATTGAAAATTGTTAAATGTGTCCCAACTTTGATATGCTATCCATTTATTTTATTCAAAAATTTAATATAGGGATGTTGGAATAATTTCTAAGTGCATGCAATAAACATTATCTTGTTTAAAAGAATGTATCCAGATTTTGTTTGACAGGAATATTATGACAATCATTTATTTACATTTTCAATTTTTGATTGCATTTCTTGTTTTCTTTTTCTACTCATAGGCAGGTCTTAATTTCACATGTATTTCATGACCGGGTCTGTCTGACTGGAACAGACCTGTGCACGTGCAAAAGATAGACCTCATAACGGACTTTCTTTTGTTTAAACAGGTCTATCCAAAAAATATAGACCTGTCACAAACAATTGAGGAGTTGTGCAAGCCTGGTGTTTTATTACACAAGTACTCAAAAATTCTTTTCTTTGAGAAGAAATTACCTTGCAAAAAGAGTAGAAAATTTCTGGTTGATTTCCTTCTTTCGGTGGGACAGCTACAGCACAGAGGAAGTGTGACATCATACCAGCCCTGTGACCAACACCAAAATACCCACCAACTACCAGTACATCCAACTCATCCATTAAACCTGTGTCAAACATAATATACATGGCGTAAAATGTTATTTGCATCTAAAGTTTAGTAACTGTTAGATATTACATGTATACTTATGTTACTTAAACAGAATATAGAATTTTTTTGTTTGATTTTAAAGTACTTTTGTAATATTCATTTAAAAACAAGCACACACCGTCTCTAAAGTAAAGACCTTGTGAGGACATAATTATGAGTAAACAAGGTGTTGTGTAAGGTTTGTTTCCTTTATTAACACTAAATGTTTATGCACACAGGAAGTGATGTTATGTTAATTACAAACAAATATTTTGCACAAAAGCAAAAACCAGTGTAACTTAATTTCCACATCAAGATGTTGTCACAAAAGATACTAATAAGTCACTAATTAGGAAGTAAATGATAGCCGTACAAACCTCCTACATATTCTGGTTTGACCTTGAACCAGCCTCCTTTCCTTGTATTAGGTCTATATACAGACTCGGGGTTTTTCACCATGATACCCTCTTCCCTACCATCTATAGCCTCATTCAGAGCATCAGCACAGTCCTGACTGAAATTTGTATTTCATTTCAAATCAATTTAAAACAAAATCAGGTTTTAAATGAATAATTGCAAAATTGAGTCTTGCCTATGTTACTTGCAAACATATTAACATGTTAAAGATTAATGAGTAGTGCACTTTTGTTCTTTAAAAAATTATGAAAAATCCTTTTTCTTTTGCTACATGAAAAACAAAAGTTAGTTTGCTTATTTGTGGTCCGGGTTTTAAGTCACAACAACACTATTGATATCACAACTTCGTACCTTTGCTAGTGGTGGATGCTTCATGAATTATTTCATACATGAACAACCAACCTTCTGAATGTTCTTTGGCAACTTCCTCACAAGCAATATTCAGATGCCCCTGGCAGCAGTTGAAACCGCATGGGTGAAGAGCAAGAAATTCTAAGTCAGTCACTACCTAATTGGCTATTGAGCGCCCTAACTTCTACTTTAAATTATCAACAAATATTAACCAGAATGGATATTTTATGACAGTAACTTACTTAGTTTTAGCCTCCTTATGTTCACTGATGATAAGTCTGCCTTTCTCTGTGTTAAAAGTTTTTTCCAGGTATTTAACTCTTTCCTTTAGTGGTAGATTAGTTAACACTTTATCATTGAGAAATAAAATATCAAACACATGTAGACATGGTTGAAAGCCATCACGATTAGTTGATTTCACATCTGTGTTCATCGCTTTTGTTGCTGAAATCACAAATTATCAAAATGTCTTAATCTGAAGTTTACTTTTAAAAGGAAAACAAAAGTACAATAAAACCATTACAAAGAAAAACATCATCATAATGATAGTTGCTAAGTATATTATACCTGTAATCAATAAATAATAACATATCATTAGATCTATTCTACATATAAATTATTAGTATAAAATCAATCATCTTCAGATAAAATACTCACTTAGGAAAATATGAGTAGAACTAGTATATTTCATTTAATATTTAAAATTAGAAAACATAAAAGTTGTACCATATGTCTCTGTTTCAGGATGGTACAGGATCATTTCACCATCAAGGATACAAGTCTTTACATCTGGTTTAAATAGATCATGTATATACTGTGTTAATGTGCCGTCATACTGGTTTGATCCGAATATGTTAGTATACTCATTACCACTGTAAAATATACCAAGTTACAAATTATTAAACCCGGATTAAAATCAAAAATGATTGTTAAGATGGGTTTTGGACAAACTAATGCTATTTACATGAAGTTACATGTCAATCTTTCCACCTTCATTGATGACACTACACCTTATATCAATTTAGTCTTAAAGTTTGAGTGTTAGTAAAACCACTGACCTTCTGTAAAGAAGCAAGATGCATGAAAGATTTTAACTTAACAGGATTCTAACTTACATATAAGTGAGTGGAAAATATGTACAAATCAGAGACAATAACCAATCAGCTAATGAGGTTGCTACAAATCAAAATGACTAATTACAAATGTGAGCTAGAGATTCATATTGACATATGACCAGAATGAAACCTGTTCCATTGAATTTACTTAAACTTTGCATGATCTTACAGAAGGAATTTCTGCTTATTATTAGAGCACTCAAAGTTTAAATTAATTCTATAAAACAGTTTTCATTCTCACATATATATATATATATATGCAAATGTCTTTGACATATTGAAGAAATAAATAATGTTTATAAAGTATAGAATAGAGACATGGCAAGAAGTATTTGTTGGGATAAAATTTTGTCGGATCTCAAGTTCGTGGATTGACTTACCCACGAAAAACCATTAAAATTCGTGCCCCACGAATAATAATGATTTTACAGTATACACTTTAATATACATGTATATCCCTGTTTTAAAAACATGTCATTATACTAGTTAAATTATATCAAAGCAACTTTTTCTCTCTTTGTCACCATGTCATGAATAAAAATGTCAAAATTTTAAACAAAAGCTTTTTCCATGTAAAAACATTTTCATGCAAGTCATTATATGAATTACAAGTCACACAAACCTTCTAGAGTAGAACTTGTATTCACCAGCATCTTTATGTAGCAGCATTCTTTCCCCATCAAATTTAGTCTCAATAAAATATGGTTTCCCTTCCATTAACTTCTCAACCTATAAATAGAACACAAAAATAGAACCATCTCTAACTGAAAATTACCTACAATCAAGAACAATGGATGTTTTGTTAATAATCTTTATCGTATAAAAAAATAAAACTAATCATACAAGTAGAAAAATGATTATACCAGTGGAAAATTAATCATTACTTTGGATTTGACTCAAGTGGACTTTACTAGGCCAGAATCTCACTAAATGTAATAAGTCCAAGTAAAATTTACAAAAGTCAAACCACTTGAGAACATTATTATCATGATACACCTTACCTTATCAGGTGAAGCTCTCTCTCCAAGCATTGGTGTAAATGGAGAAAATACTGATATACCAATCTCATGGATTCTTACTGATGGGTCGTGCATCATTCTACACACCTGATATAAAACAATTGCTACAATTATAATACTATTATACCAGAAAAAACGTATTTAATCTTCTACTTTTACTTCAATCATTTCATTCATCACCTGTAGTGACATCAGCTGAAGCAATAGTATAATACAAAAGATAAAGATATACAGGGCATATTAGAATGGTAAACATCACAAAAATTATGGCCTAAATAACTTCAATTTTTAGAATTTCAATTTAAGAACAGATTAATAACATATTAGATAGTGTTTGAGATACAGAAATAGAAATTGTTACTCACTTTTTCCAAGTTATTGTTAACATTATAGAATTCTTCAGCATCAGGATGGAACACTGACAATACAGATGACTGACTTAATCCAATCTTCAGTTCCTGTAGATAAAATATCAGACAGATTATAACCAGATTTATATAATATTTGTTAGAAAGGGAATATTTGAAATAAAATAATTATCACATTTTCAAATGTGAAAATATTGCAAATTTTCTCACTTATCCACAAAAACCCCCAACAAATTTTCTATTTATTTTATGTCAAATTACGTATTAACTGTTTTCATTGAAGCACAGGAAACATAAAGAAGGTGATGACAGATGTCAAACAGCTATGTAAATGCAGCATGAACAAAAGTTTTTTTTCCTGCTTTTTAAGTTGATTTGATAAAAATTTTGGTCACATCTCAGTGGTTGTTTCACCAAACTATCATTCCTGGAAAACTAACCAGTAAATACCAACTTCTCCCTAAATGACTGACTTCTAATCTCACACATTTTTTGAATAAGTGGTGAGAGACAAATGACTATTAAACTAAAATGTTCGAGATCAATTGTAATGAGAAATCACATCAAAGATATATTAACTGTTAAAGAGACTATATTTCCAACCTTAACAATCATTCTGGTGAGCCACTTCAGTTCTAGAGCAGACATATTTGTAATCAACTTTACAATATGTTTCCTGACAGCATCTTTCTTTTTTGCCACATTGTTTGTAGCTATACCATCCAGACAATCGTTTACTTCCTCGATGAATAACGTGCCTCGACTTGGACAGCGGTTTTGTAAAACAAAATACACAACACTAGCAAAATCCCCTACATCCTGTAAAATTAATTCATTTTTTAAATAAGTAGTAAAAATTAATCTTTAATAACTTGCACAAACATGTGCATGTAAAAGATTAAATTTTGTTACAAAATAAAATGCCATTTTTGTATAAAAAAGAACGCATTTCAATATGTAAGCTGATCCTTCCTTTTGATCATATTTTGTAAAACAGCTTTACCATAATTTTTTTTCAACATTTTAATCTTAAAGGAACTCCACAAAAGCCTGAAACATACAATTTGAATTTATTATGTAGATGAGCAGGGGCACTTAAAACAGAAAAATATGCTAAAGATAATGGAAAATAAATCTCAAAATAATATTTTTAGTCCTGTCATATCAGATCCCTAAGTGGAGTCCCTTTAAAACAGAACACAAGCATTTTTTCACTGAAGCAATTTTATTTGAATATATCATAACAGTGCTATTAATACCTTTCCTGATACAGTAAATTATATACTTATAGTGATGGCAAAATTTCTTACTGCTTTAGCTGTCTTTGGAGCCTTATAATTAAGGAGCCTATGGGCATCTGGACTGTCTTTTCCTAAACACAATACTTCAATCAGCAGTTTGGCAAACATGTGCTGTAAAATATTATAACAAAATTAAATATAAATTTAAAAATCCATAACAGTATAAGGCTGCTTTGTTACATTTATGATTACTGAAACAATATAAAACAAGAATAACAAGCAATTATCATAGTATTGCAAGCAATCCATAAGTCCCCTACCAGTTAGAACCCCAGCTACATTCTGATGGGCCATTGGCCATTCAATTTTACCAGTAAATGAATGACATGAATGAACTTAAATCTTTTGAGTTCTAAGTTTGTCTATATCATAGTAATGTGTTAAGTTTCCCTGCCTAGTAAGGAAATTATGTTTATACAACCTTCTCATATTATTACGATGTGGGATTTTAAAGTTAATCCTATAAGGAATGAAGAAGTTGGCCTAAAAAATAACAATTTCTAGAAAAAAATCTAAGTTCAAGGGAGGTAATACTGATAATTTTTGTGCTTGAGTTGTAAACCTTATCACATATGATGTGGTTGATGACCAGAAACTTATAATCAAAGTCTCAAGTAAACACCTTAAGAAATAAAGAACTTATAGTGAAAAAGCTGAAAAATTTAAATCAGAAATCTTGAAATTCAGGCTTTTTGTTGCCATAGCAACCAGAATTTTCAATATAGGAAGAAAAGAAAAAGATGTGCATAATCTCCATACTGCCATCTATCCATATATCAAGTTTCATAAAAATATTTTCAGTACTTCTTGAGATAGCACTGGATCCAGTTTATGTGTTAAATTTGCCATAATTTCAGACTATTTGTTGCCATAGCAACCAGAATTTTCAACATAGGAAGAAAAGAAAAAGACGTGCATAATCTCCATACTGCCATCTATCCATATATCAAGTTGCATAAAAATATTTTCAGTACTTTTTGCGTTATCGCAAAATCAAGTTTTGTGGACGGACGGACTGACAGACGGACGAACGGACGGAGGGTAAACCTAAAGTCCCCTCCGGTTAAACCGGTAGGGGACTAATTAGACTATTATAGCAAAATGAAAAAAAATCATGTTTCATCAATATTGCCATTTTTATCATTATGTACCTTTCAGCTAACAAATAAATAAACAGAAAATATAACAAAGATTTACCTCCTTTATACCATAAGCAACTCTCTCTTTCTCTAAATGTGGAAGCAACAGTCTCATAGCAGGATAAAATGAATCTGTCTGAAAGAAAAAAGTGAAAGAAAATTATGATCAGATCATTTACAGAAAGACAAGTTGATCATACACTGTACATTTGATTACTTATTTAAAGACAAAGTAATCATAAGTTCATAACATGTACATTTTTAAAGTTTTTCTTCTTGATAATATAACAGATAGTGCCATCAAAATTGAAATGTAAGTGTCAGACATATTACTGTTTAAAAACATGCCAAATATGTTTAACACTAATATTTAATGTTTACACAGTGACATGTAAGTAATTTGTCAGACTGTAAACTATTATACAAAAAAATTCAAGTGGCATGTCAATGTCAGATATGTTTAGTTGAAAATATTCCACTTGCCAAAGTTTGAAAAAGTTGAGATAAATTCTGAGTAGGGAAATGTGTCAAATCATTAATGCCAAAATGATTCAGCTAGACTTCAGAAGAGATTCTCACAATGTCCACTCTTTTAAAACTTTAGAAATATTGATATTCAAGTTATTCAAGAATTTAGATATATCATGAAATTACCAAATAAGAAGGACAAAGAACATTTCCTATGTAATAATTGTTCTCCCAGTTATGCTGAGAATTAGTTTAGTTTATACGAATTTATTCTAGTTAATTAAGCTATAAGATTATTTAAACACTCTCAAATCAGTTCCTGGAACAAACCAGTACTAAAGACCCTGTCACACTAGACTGCGCTTTCACTAAATTTGCATAGCGTTGTTAAATTTAACAAAGGGCCACAAGATCGAAATAAAAAATGTGATATTTTTGATGACATGGGGACTTCATGGCATTTTCATACTATCCTCAGGGTGATCATGGCTATGCTACAGAGTTTCCACAACATTTTAATTGGCAATTGTCTGTGCTTCTTCTGCATTCTTTGCGCTTCAACTGTGCTTTTACAGCACTCACATTGGCACACTCGCAGCGCTAACACTGCGTTGAAATCCAAAAGCTCTGTAAAAGCGCTGTGCACTGTGACTCAGTATGAAATGCCGCACAATCTCTGTGGATAACCACTGCTTTCATTTGGTATTCCTTTTGCACTTTCATGGGGCTCCTGTTGCATTGTAAGAGATGCTACTGAGTTGCTATGACGTCATAACTTTGATCCTACTGCGCTCTTATCAGAACGCCAAGTGATGACGATGTTTGTTTGGGCATGCTCAAAAAGTGTACCGACAGTTGGTGTTCTATGTGATGCCACTATGATGCTGTTGCTATGTTTGTGATCTTACTGCACTCACCTCAGCATTCTGAATTCCCTTTGAACATCATGAGAACGCCACCCTAGTGTGACAAAGGGTTTAAGCAATGAATGTAAAGTTTCTTGCTCAAGATAACAACCGCTTGCCCAAGGGGGTTTGAATCCACGTAGCGTCAACCACTCGACCTTGCTGCCTTAGAGCTGAGAATTATTGTTTAGGCGTATATGTGTCTTGAAGAAAGGGTCTTTCAACCACAGTCAATTTTTTACCTTGAGGCCGATTCATTTAGAGGTCGAAACCTCCTATTAGGCACTGCACATGGTATATGTAACACAACACAAAATTTGAACTAGAGTAAAATATTTTGTCTGGGCTAATTATTGAGATCAGAAAAGTTGTAATTATGATGCAAAATTCTTATAACATATAATAGCGAGCTCGACGAGCTGGCCCAAAGGGCCTGCTCGCAAAGTGAGCTTTACGGTAACGCGAGTACCTGCTAAGTGATGGTTTTGAAAACTTTCGTCCAAAGTACCGAATTGGACACATCGCAACCTTTCGAATTTAAAGATAACGATAAAAACTGAGGAATTCTGACTGAAAACGGATGTGTAGACTGGTCACCCGCGCACGTCTATGGGAACCATAATTGGACAGGGAACCAGAATAACGGAAGCTGTGTATAAAAAATGAAAATCGAAGGCGCCATTTTGTTTGAAATCTGATAAATAAAAACAATTTTTTGTCGAATTTTGTTGTGAAAACTATCTAGAATGAAAGAAAATGGTCTAACTAAGAAAATGAATCCGAACACCAATATCTTTTATTCAGTCGTTAACGCTGTACAGACGTTTAAAGTATTGTTTACGTGACGTCACAATGTAGCGCCAAACAGCACGTGCAAAACAAACAAATCAAGTACGCTATTTTAATGTCGCAAACGTTTTAAGTTTTACATTTATTTCACTTTAAATAATCTTTATTTCGCTTGAAAAATTATAGAGTGAAATAAAATAAACAAAGTTTTATCAACGTTTTCAAAACTCGTTATTCATTTCACGACAGGGGCGGAGCCATATTTAACAAAGTACGTGTGACGTCACACGCACTCGTTACTGCATTTGAAATAAAAATGAGCAATTATTTCATACTATTTCACGTAAAAAGTACATCGAGCTCGCTTTGAGGCTTTGCCTTTTTCATATTAACATTGTTACACTTACTGTCGTTTTTTCTGATCCATGGACAACCTGGTGTGATTTTCTCCATTGATCTATAAAATCTTTTAAAATTCTCTTTTTCTTGTCATTTCCTTGCGTTTTAGAAATTTTCTCCAGCAACCCACACATTTCTGAGAAATGGACCTTTGATGCAACCGTGACAGCTGGTGAATCCGGTTTGGCGTCGTCCATATTTCAATAATTATGACTTTTTACAACAAAAGAACGAGTGTAGATAAGACTAAAAAGTGATTTAAAATAACATGATGAAATTCAGCAATTTCGCTAGCGTAAACATTGGCTTTTCACACCTCCACTGAAGAGTACGTTGACTTAACTTGATTCTATATTTATTACTTTTTTAGAATCGAATCGAACTTATGAAATTTTGTAATAAAATTCAAACCTTTGCGATAATTTACATACCTGTATTTGACTTAGGAAAGGGCATTAAATTGCAGATAATTTTAATAGTTACTTGATTAATTATCTGTATTGGATGTAATATAATTATAGTATCTGATTACAATTACAATTCAGATACTTATGAACTTGTTCTTAAAGTGATTCAAACGTACAACTGTAATCAAACAAGCTGCAATTGTCTTCCTGATCAGCTGCAGCACACCTGTCAAACTATAGGTTTATTCTGAATTTATGTTGTATAGCTTAAAACATTCATTTAAATTTAATTGTTTAATTTTTATTTAGAAGATTTTTAAAAACATCACTGTGGAGATCATAAATTCTCTGTCAGAAACACATCCTCTGTTTTACAGTTTTACTGTTTACACTGGAGTTAAACAGTTTTAAACCATGAGGACTAGTGTGCTTGATTAAAAGAGAGATAGCACACTTCAGACAGTTGAGGTCCATTTGGTTTGGATCCTTCAGGTAATGAGTGTAAATTAGTGTAAACTATATAGACGTCCGCACCTACTAATTATTGCCATTTTCAGTAGCTTGTCCTGTTACAACAGTACAAATGTCATGTGTTAACTTAAACTTAACTATATATTGTTAGTTATTGTAACCTAGATCCTACCCTGGCTTTGATTGACCAATACTCAAAAGTCTTTTTGAATCTCATTCACTTGAGAGAAAAGATATGTAGAAAAAATAAACACAAACAGATATTTATATATTTAGGTAATTTGGAACAAGTGAAAACTGAGTGTTGTACTGTAAAAAAAGCTTAGGGCGATCATATCATGGTCACCTAACTTGATCCTGTCAATTGTGTGCAAGACATTATTATGTTATATCAACCACTTGTTTGTTTGTTTAATTGGGTTTTACGTCACACTGACACAGTATAGGTCATATGGCGTCATTCCAGCTTTACTGGTGGAGTAAGACCTCAGATGCCCTTCTGTGCATTAATTCAGGCACGAATGGGTACCGAAGTAGAACCACCGATGTTCCGTAAGCTAGCTGGATAGCTTCCGCACATGAAAGAAAGTCCCTGTCGGGATACGAACCCACAGCGGTGAGGGGCAAGTGGTTTGAAGTCAATAACCTTAACCACTTGGCCACGGACGCCCCTCAACCATTTGTATTTAGACCCTGGGGATTTTAAGTTATAACTACCTGTAAATTTAATAAATTTACTGCAAGATATGATAATAGATTATAGATATAAATTTTGTATACCTCATTATTTATCAAAATCAATTAGTGCAAGCTTATTCTAATTTTAGTCACTTACTGATTTAAAATACTTTAATTTTTCCAATTATGTATTTTCATTTTATTTGTTGTTTTATAGAATATTGAACATAAATGGATGAGCATGTCTTAGTAACTGGAGCTGCAGGTTATGTTGGTACTCACGTGTTGGTGGAACTTATTGAAGCAGGCTATTCTCCTGTAGCTTTAGATAATAGATCTAGTGCTTTAACAGGTTAGTCTATGTTTTAGTCAATATTAATATACAGGTAAACATTCTATTTATTAATCATGGATTGATGGTATTTGTTTTTGCACACATGTGGTATGTAATTTTCCCCCAATGTTTTGTAAACATAATTTTGTCACCAATTTACTCCACAATAAACAACATGTAGAATCTTGCAGTGTTGTTGCCAGAATAATCAATGTGTCACTTTTTTCAAAAATATTGATATTGATGTATTGTATTTAATTACATCTACTTCTAGTTGTAGTAAAACATTTTTCTTTAATGATTTTAGATGCAGCACAAAAGATATTCCAGATAACAGGACATAAGTTAAGGTTTTACTGTGTGGATTTGCTGGACAAATCGAGTATAGCTCAAGTCTTTGATGAGGTTTGTACATGTCTAATTTCTGCATATACAATGTACATTGTATTCTACATATTTTTCATCTAAATATTTACTAATGGCGTCTCTGTTGAAGATTTATTTTGATTACTAACAATGAAACATTTCCATTTCACTGCTGTAGGCAGTTTGGTTTCACTTTAAGATATTAAATTCACTTAGGAAAGACTTAGAAAGCTATCCTGTTATAACTATGATACCCTGGAGGTTGTAATCAATTTGTGATCTGGTGTCAAATGTGCCAGTGTTTTATATAATGCTTCTTAGATCTTTCAGATGTAAATTTGAAAGTTTTGACAAAATTACAGAACCATGAAAAAATTATTTCACTTGATTGTCACAGCCATGTAAATGGGTTCAAATTAGTGGTGTCTATACATCTCTTAGCTCCAGGTGAGGTGGTTTTGACCCATGGTGTTGCTTTAACTTTGTAATACCTGGGTAAGTCAAAATCATCTCTCCTGTTTTTGGTGCCATACATGTATAACATGAATTGTGATGGTGTGCCATAAAACCAAACAAAACAAAACAAATCATAGCTGTGACCTTTAGGTTGTTGATTTCTTTCATGTGTGATTTCCAAACAGAGTAAGAAAAGTTGGTGGTTCTACCTGGGCACATGTTCTTGTATGAAGTATGGAATGATGTACATCTGTTCCATCACAATTATACCTGAACATTTGACATAACCTCAATGGTGTTGATTTGACTTAAAATCTGAAAACATTTAACATTACATTTACCGTATTATTATTTCAGGTGAAAGTTGACTGTGTGTTTCATTTAGCTGGTCTAAAAGCAGTACGGGAATCACAAGGAAATCCACTAATATATTATAATGTTAATGTGATAGGTACCATCAACCTGCTAGAGGTACGTTCACTATCTATAAATATAAAACCATCTATAGTCACATTAAAATCATTGTGTGCTTGATGACAAGTGTGAAATGAAATTATCTAGAATCACACTGGTATAATTAAACTATATATGTATATTGATATTGATACATGAAGTAAGTTACTCCAGCTGATTATGTAGTCAAACATGAAATTTCTTCTTTAATTTGTGATACAAATTTGTAATATATTTTGGCTTTGAAATTTATAATACAGCAAGCATCTGTTTTAGAGAAACACATGATCTTTCTTCATAAATTTATAGCAGCCACATATATAAAACTAGATAAACATTACAATTATCCAGTGAAAAGCAACGTTACAAACGTGCATTATTATAATGTACTAATAATAGTCTATAATTGTATTTCAATAATGAAAAGCATCTATTTGAACATTGAAAAGTTAAGTATTATCTCATATATCTAGTTATAGTAAACTCTACTTTACAATATCGCTTATAAAGATTTACCACTTATAACAATGCCTTTGCCGCGGTCCCTTCTCTTATTTTCAACTTGGTTGCCTCTTGGATTTAACTATATCAGGATATAATGATAAATTTTGAGATCCCCTGAATATCATTACAGTATTAAGGTTTTGTTCATTAGACAATGTAATTGTATTAAGATATTATTTTTCTGTATTTAAAGGTGATGGAAGACCATGAAGTATATAACATAATATTTTCAAGTTCGTCTAAAGTGTATGGAGTGCCACAATACCTTCCATTAGATGAGAAACATCCAACAGGGAATTGTACAAATCCCTATGGTAGAACAAAACATATGGTTGAACATATACTACATGATCTAACTGTTTCCAATGCTGTATGATATATTTATTTATATTTTAAATAAAAACCTCTCATTCCTACATGATGGTTAGGTATATTTAGCTTGTCTGTTTCAAAGAAAAAGTCAGGTTATTATGATTGCTGTGGTGATGTTGTTGTGCAAAAACTAATAATGTAGCCCCATTATTTAAATATTTCAAATTTTAAAAGCTATCATCGTGAAAATTGGAATACTAGCTTATCATGTTGATGTGCAGTTGTTTGATATAGGGCATCTAAAGCAAATTTTTTAGTTATGCCCCTTTTAATGCCTTACTTAATCTTGGCGTATACTCCAAAAAATACGCCCCTGGTCACACTTTAGTTTGAAGGTACTCATTCTCACAAGAAGAGTTTGAAGATACATGTACATTCATGTGTGGACTATCATTTTGTCATGCATTGAAGGATTTAAAAATAACTTGGCACAAATGTCTACCACATCAAGACAACATGTTAATTTTAGCTCTTGTTAATTTAGAATTTTTAACAGACAAGCATTTAGACAGAATGTGATGCTCTTGTTCACAATAGAAATTGTTAAGAATATTAGACACATTTTTCTTTCCTGTTTTATTACAATTTTGATTGTTTTATTTCACTGCTTTACTTGAAAGCATCATAACTGAAATGACCATAATCATTATTTTGGTTTGATATAAACTATTATACATGAATTAATTTTTCAGAATTGGAATGTGACAATATTAAGATATTTCAATCCAAGTGGTGCTCACAACTCAGGTATTCTAGGGGAGGACCAATCTGAAAAGCCGAGAAATTTAATGCCATGTATATGTCATGTTGCTGAAGGAAAGATGAAATCATTGACCATATTTGGACATGATTATGATACTCCTGATGGAACAGGTATGTCTCTGACATAACAATGCCTGCATTATTTGCTAAACAGAAAGATTGTAAAATGTACCATGAATTTTGAGTCCATGGATATTTGTTCTGTATTCTATAAGATGTACCATGTCTTTTTGAGTCCACGGATATTAGTTATGTAAGAAGTACCGTGACTTTTGAGTCCACAGATATTTGTTCTGTATTCTATAAGATGTACCATGACTTTTAAGTCCATGGTTATTTGTTCAAGGAATATATGCCTGTAGTGATATCATCTGACTGTCAGCACTGAATTATTTGGAGAAGTTTGCACTAGCTTGTGCAGTAATAAGTTAACACTGGCAAAGAATGTAATGACAGACTTATGTTATGAAGGTAACCAGTAACTTACCTTATACACCAGTATAGAGCTGACCAGTCCTGGACATTTGTGCAGTCTGACAAGACTCTACAGTTGGTTATTCCCTTTACTTGTTTTGAGATAATTTTAAACATTTTTCAAATGTGCAAAGAAACATAATTACAGATAACAATCATCTATTATATACCCCATACACAGCAAAATTGTGACAGGGTACTGGAATCAGCTTGTCTGTCAACGGCCATCCACCCAGCATGTTTTGTTTGTGTGGGGTATAATTAAAGATATACAAAGTAAACAGTTGGAGGTATCAACTTTAAGGACAGTATACAGGGTCCAAGAAACATTACCTGTTGTAATTTTTGTCTGGGGCATAACTTGAAACTTATAGGGGGCATAAACTTGAAACTTCATACATGGATAAATCGAATGAGGAAAAATGCATTTTTTTCTAGAGCATAACTGTATGTAAATAATTATGATGTATCGATATGACACTAAATGATACCCCAGTGGCAAAGTGGCATGCAGGGGTATTTAGCGGCAGTTCTAGTCTCTTTTTGTTTTCTTGTTTTAATGTTGTTAGCTCACCTGTCACAAAGTGACAGGGTGAGCTTTTGTGATCGCTTTTCGTCCGGCGTCCGTCCGTCGTCCGTCCGGCGTCCGTCCGTAAACTTTTACTTTAAATGACATCTCCTCATAAACCACTGAGCCAATTTCATCCAAACTTCACAGGAATGTTCCTTTGGTGGTCACCTTTAAAAACTGTTCAAAGAATTTAATTCCATGCAGAACTCTGGTTGCCATGGCAACCAAAAGAAAAAACTTTAAATATCTTCTTTTAAAAAACCCAAAGAGCTAGAGCTTAGATATTTGGCATGAAACATCTTCTAGTGAGTGTCTACCAAGTTTGTTCAAATAAAAGCCCTGGGGTCAAAATTGGCCCCGCCCCAGGGGGTCATTGATTTTCCTTATATGCATATAGTAAAAACTTAAAAAATCTTCTTTTAAAGAACCCATAGAGCTAGAGCTAAGATATTTAGCATGAAACATCTTCTAATGGGTGTCTACCAAGTTTGTTCAAATAAAAGCCCTGGGGTCAAAATTGGCCCGCCCCAGGGGGTCATTGATTTTCCCTATATGCATATAGTAAAAACTTAAAAATCTTCTTTTAAAGAACCCAAAGAGCTAGAGCTAAGATATTTAGCATGAAACATGTTCTAATGTGTGTCTACAAAGTTTGTTCAAATAAAAGCCCTGGGGTCAAAATTGGCCCCACACCAGGGGGTCATTGATTTTCCCTATATGCATATAGTAAAAACTTAAAAAATCTTCTTTTAAAGAACTCAAAGAGCTAGAGCTAAGATATTTAGCATGAAACATGTTCTAATGGGTGTCTACAAAGTTTGTTCAAATAAAAGCCCTGGGGTCAAAATTAGCCCCGCCCCGGGGGTCATTGATTTTCCTTATATGTGTATAGCAAAAACTTAAAAAATCTTCTATGAAAAAACCCATATTGTTAGAGTTTAGATATTAAGCATGAAACATCTTCTAGTGAGTGTCTACAAAGTTTGTTCAAATAAAAGCCCTGGGTCAAAATTGGCCCCGCCCCAGGGGGTCATTGATTTTCCCTATATGCATACAGTAAAAACTTAAAAAATCTTCTTTTAAAGAACCCAAAGAGCTAGAGCTAAGATATTTAGCATGAAACATGTTCTAATGGGTGTCTACAAAGTTTGTTCAAATAAAAGCCCTGGGGTCAAAATTGGCCCCGCCCCGGGGGTCATTGATTTTCCTTATATGTGTATGGCAAAAACTTAAAAATCTTCTTTGAAAAAACCCAAATAGTTAGAGTTTAGATATTAAGAATGAAACATCTTCTAGTAAGTGTCTACAAAGTTTGTTCAAATAAAAGCCCAGGCCCCGTGTTCACAAAGATTTAAGGATCAGGATCAAGATCAAGATCAAATTTAAAAACTCAAATATTCTACGTTATTTATCCTCATAGATTAAAAATTAAGTGTTAACTTGCTAAAACTGGACTTGAAATAGCATGTTTATGAAATTATAGAATAAATTTATTGTCATATTTACAAGATACAAGCATTTTACAGTTGATCCAAATTTTGATCTTGATCCTAAAATTGATCCTCATTTTGATCCAATTATTTTTGTATTTGTTTTGTTATTTGTTGATTTTATCCAAAAATAGGTTGGTTTCTTTGCATATAAACAATTATTTATATTTCGAAAATGTACCATTTAATTATAGCATAATACGATCAGTTTTAGTTACATAAAACAATGAAAATAAAATCAGGATCATCTGATCCTGATCCTGATCTTTTCTTTGTGAACACGGGGCCTGGGGTTAAAAGTGGCCCCGCCCCAGAGGTGTCATTGTTTTAACTATATGTGTATAGTAAAAACTTAACAAATCTTCTTTTAAAAAACCCAATGAGCTAGAGGTTAGATTTTAAGCAGGAAACATCTTTTTGTTGGTGTCTACCAAGTTTGTCCAAATAAAATCCCTTGGGTTTAAATTGGCCCTGCCAAAGGGGGGGGGGGGGGGAGGTCATTGTTTTTCATTATATGTGTGTAGTAAAAACTTAACATCATGAAACATCTTCTAATGGGTGTCTTCCAAGTTTGCTCAAATAAAAGCCCTGGGGTTTAAACTGGCCCCGCTCCGGGGGCCTATATACAGGTGAGCGACCTCAGGGCCATCATGGCCCTCTTGTTTTTATGTTGAATTTTATTGATATTTTAGCAATGAAGGGTTACACACATGTTGTAGATTTAGCCAAAGGTCATATTGCAGCATTAAAAACTAGTCATAACAATGGAAACTATAGGGTGAGAGATGTTTTGATATCATTTTGTTAATCATATGAAATCTTTTTTTAGTCCCCTACCGGTTTACCGGAGGGGACTTTAGGTTTACCCTCCGTCCGTCTGTCCGTCCGTCAGTCCGTCCGTCCACAAAACTGGATCCCGCGATAACGCAAAAAGTACTGAAAATATTTTAATGAAACTTGATATATGGATAGATGGCAGTATGGAGATTATGCACGTCTTTTTCTTTTTTTCCTATGTTGAAAATTCTGGTTGCTATGGCAACAAATAGACTGAAAATATGGCAAATTTTACACATAACCTGGATCCCGCGATACCGCAAAAAGTACTGAAAATATTTTTATGAAACTTGATATATGGATAGATGGCAGTATGGAGATTATGCAAATCTTTTTCTTTTTTTTCCTATGCTGAAAATTCTGGTTGCTATGGCAACAAATAGACTGAAAATATGGCAAATTTTACACATAACCTGGATCCAGTGATAACGCAAAAATTACTGAAAATATTTTTATGAAACTTGACATATTGGTAGATGGCAGTATGAAAATTATGCACATTCTTTTCTTATCTTCCTGTATTGAAAATTCTGGTTGCTATGATAACAAATGGACTGAATTTCAAGATTTCTGATTCTAGTTTTTCAGTTTTTTCACTATAAGTTCTTTATTTCTTAAGGTATTTTCTTCAAACTTTAAATATAAGTTGCTAGTCATCAACCACATCATATGTGACAAAGTTTACAACTCTAGCACAAAATTTATCAGAATTACCTCCCTGGAACTTAAAATTTTCATGAAAAAAACATTGTTTTTTTTAATAACTTCTTTTTTTCTGAACGTATCTACTTCAAACTTCATATAAATGTTTCTTATTATCACACAACATTTGTGAGTGTTCAATACTCTAGCAAGACTATTTCCAGAATTATGCCCCTTTTGAACTTGACTTTTTTTTGAGAAATTGGTAATTTTCTTTAATTATGATAGGATTTTCTTCAAACTCCCACATCATAATAATATGACAATAATATGACAAGGTTTATAAATCTAGCATCCATATTTCCAGAATTATCTCCTCCTTAAACTTTTTATTTTTCCTATTCGTTCTTTTAACTTTCATTTACTTCAGATTCAAAATAAACATTCAATATTCATATCTTCATTACTAATTGTTCTTTGTTACACTCACATCATGTATGACATCGTTATCTCCTTTTTTTTAAATTTTGCTTTGAAAATGTTATATTTTGATAACAGGGATGTTAAAGAAATAACTTTAGAGTGTCCTTCAGTCTGTCTGTCTGTCTGTACATAAAAACTGTTCACTGTGATCACTTTAAATAGAAACATAAGTGAATGGCCAATGGCCCTTCAGAATGTTGCTTGGGCTCTTACCGGTAGGGGACTTATGGATTGCTTGCAATACTATGATAATTGCTTGTTTTAATAGTTATAGACATGAGTGTGCTACTGTTACATACAGGCAGAGAAAAAAACTGTGTAATAGCATATATTGAAACTTTGCCTGTTACTTTAACCAACGACAGAGCTATGATAAAAAATGTGGTGAAATGGATGAATAAAAAAAAACAAATTCAGCAGTATACCCATTATAATTGCTTAAAACTGTGGAGGCAGGTATACATTAATAGAGAAGAAAACTAACAGATAAAATCATGGGAGCATGCTGCATTATTGCACATTTTTTAATATGAATGGCACGGGACACTGTGTCACAAAAGTTTACAGCACTGATGGCCCAGGAAACATAACTGTCAAATAACATCAGACAAGCATGTGCAAAGCATGACAAAAAGTTTCTTTATATGAGAAATGCCAGTGGGTTGTGAAGTATTCTCCACGTTTTGATAAATGATTTACAAATTACTTGTTGGACACAAAACATTTGCAACTTTTAGTTTAACACTCATAATTCATAGATGATATAAGATTGAGATTGTGACAGGTGTCATTTATACAAAATGTTTTATCTCAATTCTTCATTATTTTTTACAGATATATAACTTAGGTGCTGAGAAAACTTATTCAATACTTGATATGGTCAAAATGTTTGAACAGATCTCAGGGAAAAAGGTAATGTGTAATTATTGTAATATACCATTTCTGTTTTACTGATTGTGTTTGGGAAAATATACAGCATTTAATTTCTTAAACAGAACACTATTCAATATGTTCTTAATTATGACAATATTCCTCAATATTTAATTTATAAATTAGAGGGAAGAGGGCAGGATTGCCACCATGTCTTTTTAACACATTTCAAGTTGTCTATTGATGTCTTTGATGCTTTTAGAAATTAATGTTGTGCAATCAAGATATTCAGAATTTAAGACTTGAATTTCTAGTGTTTGTACTAGTGCTTGAAAAAGTTGAAGAACACCCCTTATGTTAAATTAGTTACATGCTTTAAATGACTTCATTCTACTGCCATTATAAAAAAAAGTTGTAAATTCATTCACTGCTGTAAGGAAATAAACTGCATGAAACTATTACTTTGATTATTCTTTTTCAAAGTATATATATTTGATATGTAATATTCAAGAAAGAGTCTCGTAACTGGCTTATACAGTTACCCAAAAGTTAACCTCTCAGATATTCTGAAACAGCAGCCTGTGTCAGATTTGTTTAATTTAAAGTAGGGGATTTTAACATAAAATTCTAGAATCATACAGCCAACATTATGCAACAGAGTGTAGACTAATTCCCTGCTCTGTACAAGTGGTACAGATCTACCTAAATTACCACCCTGTCTTAAAGGATGGATTTTGTATATTTTTAAAACAGTACATCCTTGTTAATATTCAGGTAGCTATAGAATTATGTGATAGAAAACCAGGGGAGATAGCCATGTGTTCTGCTGACAGTTCTAAAGCTCACCAGGAACTTGGCTGGAAAACTGATAGAACTTTGAAACAAATGTGTAAGTTTATAAAATTTTAAGCATAAAAGAAATACAAGTGTTTTGCTATTGTTGTAAAGTCGCCCTTTCATTAGTACCTTTGTGTAGTATAGTAGTTGTATATAAAAGTAGTTTCCTTAATTAACAAAAGAAAAAGAAAGTTGACACATCTGGGGTTTAAACCCTAGGCCCTAAGTTTTAATGTATTGCGCATTTGAATACTCTTCAAAGTGGAGGTAATGCATTAGTCTGATGATTAGAATGGCCATACCTTAGTACTTTTTTTTAGCTCACCTGTCACAAAGTGACAGGGTGAGCTTTTGTGATTGCTTTTCGTCCGGCGTCCGGCCGTAAACTTTTACTTTAAATGACATCTCCTCATAAACCACTAAGCCAATTTCATCCAAACTTCACAGGAATGTTCCTTTGGTGGTCACCTTTAAAAATTGTTCAAAGAATTTAATTCCATGCAGAACTCTGGTTGCCATGGCAACCGAAAGAAAAAACTTCAGCTATCTTCTTTAAAAAAAACCTAAGAGCTATAGCTTAGATATTTGGCATGAAACATTTTCTAGTGAGTGTCTACCAAGTTTATTCAAATAAAAGCCCTGGGGTCAAAATTGGCCCCGCCCCGGGGGGTCATTGATTTTCCTTATATGCACATAGTAAAAACTTAAAAAATCTTCTTTTAAAGAACTCAAAGAGCTAGAGCTAAGATATTAAGCATGAAACATGTTCTAATGGGTGTCTACCAAGTTTGTTCAAATAAAAGCCCTGGGGTAAAAATTGGCCCCGCCCCAGGGGGTCATTGATTTTCCTTATATGTATATAGCAAAAACTTAATAAATCTTCTTTGAAAAAACCCAAATAGCTACAGTTTAGATATTAAGCATGAAACATCTTCTAGTGAGTGTCTACAAAGTTTGTTCAAATAAAAGCCCTGGGGTCAAAATTGGCCCCGCCCCGGGGGTCATTGATTTTCCTTATATGTGTATAGCAAAAACTTAAAACTCTTCTGTGAAAAAAACGAAATAGCTAGAGTTTAGATATTAAGCATGAAACAGCTTCTAGTTAGTGTCTACAAAGTTTGTTCAAATAAAAGCCCAGGGGTCAAAACTGGCATCGCCCCAGTGGTGTCATTGTTTTCAACTATATGTGTATAGTAAAAACTTTAAAAATCTTCTTTGAAAAAACCCAATGAGCTCAGAGCTTAGATGTTTAGCATGAAACATCTTCTTATGAGTGTCTACCAAGTTTGTTCAAATAAAAGCCCTTGGACTAAAATTGGCCCTGCCAGGGGGGGGGGGGGGAGGGAGGCCTATATACAGGTGAGCGACCTCAGGGCCATCATGGCCCTCTTGTTTAATGATTTTACCTTTACCATTATATGTAGATAGTGCTTGTAAAGCTAACCTGGCTGAATATGGCAGCCTTAAAAAACTTCATTCTTAACTCAAGACTTCATCATAATGAGCCTTGTGTAACCAACCTTAGAAATTATTTCATAAATTAAGTTTTCTCTTGATTTATCATAGGATAGTGTACTACCTCATTATTATTTGTAGTATGCTTTTGTGGTTTAAATACTTTAGGTATAGGGTTATAACTGAATAAATAATTCTCTATGTTGATGTAATATAGGAAGAGCATAGGATTTGTAATCCTTGAGTCGCTTGTTCTGACCAATCAAAAACATGAAATCTGAGTTTGAGTTGAGAAAAATTCCTCATAACCTAAGAAAAGCCAGTTTGGCAGACTGACTAATATATGAACAAAATATGTTAAAATAGGGATAAAAAACCCAAAATTAGTACATTTTTTGTATACTTTCAAAAGTTTGTTTGGATATAGCAAATCATATTGAAAATAATACAGACTGGTCATATAATCATGTTATATTTCAGGTGAGGACATGTGGAACTGGATGACAACAAAGTCCCCAACACAGAAAACCAGTCAACATTTAAACCATACAGATCTACCTCAGACAGATATCAAAAATGATACACATTTGTAGTCCTGATATTATTGCTTTTTATCATACTATATGTAATAAAAAAAAAACAGCCATGGCAACTAATTTTCACAAAGTTTCAGTGGATTTTTTTTTACCATATCTTTAACAAAACTCAGTTGTTACTTGACATATTCATTTTAAGGATATTTGTTGTATATTGAACTTTTCTGTTTTGAACTATGATCAGTTTTAGATCATTATTTAAGTTCTACTAATTTTTCTTTTAGTTAAAAGTTACAAAATGTTTTTTTTTTAATTTTTATTTTTTTTAAAATAATTGTTGATTTCAATAAATTTAAGTCCTGTTCTTGCCAATAAACAATTAACATGTGCATATATGTGTTTTGAGAAGGGTTCATTGAAAAAATATCTTTTCGTCTGAATGCTTTTTTGTTTTTTGTTTCAAAGATATCTTTTTATGAATATCAATAATATTGCTAAGCTTTTGGATATAGGGTATATATGTATTTAGAAAATATCATGATTTTTTTATGATCAATATATACATTTGGATGTTCACTGTAAGTAACAATACATTTCTCTATGTTTACCTCCTCATGATTCATATCATTTAAGCACATTTTCATGGTTTTGAAGTTTACAGAAACGGGGCATCTGTTGCTGAGTGATTACAAACTCACTTGCCCCTCACCTTTTTGGGTTTGAGTCCCGCTAAGTTCATTAAATAATTTCATGTTAAAAAGCTCTCCTGCTTCTGCAAGGTGCCAGATTGTGCCTGAAAAAATGCATAGAGGGGCACCTAAGGCCTAATCCTCCACCAGTAAAGCTTGAATGTCGCCATATGACTTTTAAAAAGTGTCAGAGTGGGGAAATAGTTTATAGAATTAGATTTTGCTATACATGTTAACTACTAAATGCTATGGAATAGGAGTTGGTACTTGCTACTTTAAAAACCACTCGCTTTAAATTTAGAGAAACATCAAAGTCAGAGTCATTTCATTCTCATTTTACTATTTGCTATCTGTTTAGGAATATTTTTTTGTTTTTTATTAGTTAATATCAAAGGGACCCGGTAATCACAATGTTCATAAAAATAAATCACAAAATCTTTCAAAAATCCGTGAATAATTGATCTCAGGTAGTCACTTTCATAATGCATAAATAATAAAGGCCTTTGAGAAAATAATCATAGATATAGAATCGAATGTGTCTACTTAGTATTTAAAAGTATAAATCAAATTTACAAATACAGTTGAATTTACAGCCATACTACTATCAAAATTTATAATTACCAAAAAAGTTTCATGCTAATTTTGAGACAAACCCTTAATGACATCAGTATGGACGCCGCCATTTTTAAATGGACGTCACATCAGGTTACAATGTTAGTCAACAAGGTAAAATATAATTTTAACATTTTGACCATATTATTTACTTTTTGGGAAAAAAATGTAAAACATGCCTAGAGATATTGACTCTAGGGTTAACATTACATTAAATTTGATTACTATTATATTTGATAAAAAATGAAATGTTCAAATTTGGTGGGACATACTACTACGTATATATTTATGGTGTTTAGCAGAACTGGTAACTCTATAGGAATTGTGTTAAAATAATATTTACTTGACTCTTATAATAAGTTATTTTGCAAAAATTGATTTTTGCAAATCCTAGTCTGTTTGCTTATAAAATAGTCAGTGCTGTTTGTGATAAATATATAGATATAGATATGTTGTAAATTATTTTGTTGTGTATTATAAACAGAACTTTTTGTGACAGTTAATAGTAAATTATAGTGTTGTTTTTTTAGTCCCCTACCGGTTTAACCGGAGGGGACTTTAGGTTTACCCTCCGTCCGTCTGTCCGTCTGTCTGTCTGTCCGTCTGTCCGTCTGTCTGTCTGTCTGTCAGTCTGTCAGTCCGTCAGTCCGTCCGTCCACAAAACTGGATCCCGCGATAACGCAAAAAGTACTGAAAATATTTTTATGAAACTTGATATATGGATAGATGGCAGTATGGAGATTATGCACGTCTTTTTTTTTTTTTCCTATGTTGAAAATTCTGGTTGCTTTGGCAACAAATAGTCTGAAAATATGTCAAATTTAACACATAAACTGGATCCATTGATAACGCAAAAAGTACTGAAAATATTTTTATGAAACTTGATATATGGATAGATGGCAGTATGGAGATTATGCACGTCTTTTTTTTTTCTTCCTATGTTGAAAATTCTGGTTGCTATGGCAACAAATAGTCTGAAAATATGGCAAATTTAACACATAAACTGGATCCAGTGATAACTCAAAAAGTACTGAAAATATTTTTATGAAACTTGAAATATGGGTAGATGGCAGTCTGGAGATTATGCACATCTTTTTCTTTTCTTCCTATGTTGAAAATTCTGGTTGCTATGGCAACAAATAGCCTGAATTTCAAGATTTCTGATTTAAATTTTTCAGCTTTTTCACTATATGTTCTTTATTAGTCCCCTACCGGTTTAACCGGAGGGGACTTTAGGTTTACCCTCCGTCCGTCTGTCCGTCTGTCTGTCTGTCCGTCTGTCTGTCTCTGTCTGTCTGTCAGTCCGTCAGTCCGTCCGTCCACAAAACTGGATCCCGCGATAACGCAAAAAGTACTGAAAATATTTTTATGAAACTTGATATATGGATAGATGGCAGTATGGAGATTATGCACGTCTTTTTTTTTTCTTCCTATGTTGAAAATTCTGGTTGCTATGGCAACAAATAGTCTGAAAATATGGCAAATTTAACACATAAACTGGATCCAGTGATAACTCAAAAAGTACTGAAAATATTTTTATGAAACTTGAAATATGGGTAGATGGCAGTCTGGAGATTATGCACATCTTTTTCTTTTCTTCCTATGTTGAAAATTCTGGTTGCTATGGCAACAAATAGCCTGAATTTCAAGATTTCTGATTTAAATTTTTCAGCTTTTTCACTATATGTTCTTTATTTCTTAAGGTGTTTACTTCAAACTTTAAATATAAGTTCCTGGTCATCAACCACATCATATGTGACAAGGTTTATAACTCTAGCACAAAAAATATTAATATTACCTCCCTTGAACTTAGATTTTTTAGGGGAAAAAATGTTGTCTTTTTTAAATAACTTCTTTATTTCCTAATGTATCTACTTCAAACTTCATATATATGTTTCTTATTATCACTCGACATTTTTGAGAAGGTTAAATACTCTAGCAAGACTATTTCCAGAATTATGTCCCCCTTGAACTTAGATTTTTTTCGAGAAACTGGTATTTTCACTCCAACTTCTTCATTCCTTATAGGATTTACTTTAAAATCCCACATCGTAATAATATGACAAGGTTGTATAAACATAATTTCCTTACTAAGCATGGAAACTTAACACATTACTGTGATATAAACAAACTTATTTTATTATGTTTTGTGGTCGATATTTTCAAATACAGACTTCATCCTCAAATTCATTATAAATGGCAATACACAGGAGTGTATGAAAATTAAAGAACTTTTTGAGGGACCGGTAGGGGACTACTGTATTGCCCGCAATACTATCAAATGCTTGTTTATTCTGAAACATGTTGACAACTTTTTATTTTTCACCCTATTGTTACTTATAATTTAAATAATCATCTTCTTTTTTTAAAGCAATATCATGACAGATTTATTTGAGTTATAGTCTAATTAAAATATTGTTTTGTTATAACATTTAGCATTTATTGATAATAGTTTTTGTTGTTTCTGTGCAGTGTTATATAATTATATTAAAAGAATTGTGTTCAAAGAGTGCAGAGAAAAATCAAAATGTATGAGGTATGTTCAAACAGTTTGTGGACTTTACTGTCATTTTTTACTTCGTTAATATAAACAAACTTTGTTGATATGAATCAAAATGGAGTCTTTATTTCTAAAAGTGAATTTTACTTTTTTTCTTAAATATTTATTTCCTTTACAAACTCGTATTATATAAAATGATTAGGAATGCAAGGATGTAATTTTGTAAAGGTTTTACTGGAATAAACTTATTATAAGAAGACTTGAATTTTACACTAGAGCTAAGTCAGATTTGTGTTTCTATTTTATCAAAAGATCTCTAAATAGTGTAATTCTGAAGTATTATTTTAACAAGGTTTGTATTACATTAAGTGAAAATGTTCATATATTTTGATACTGTATGCATTATCAATGTAAATATTTATATAACAAACCCATAACCTGCTGAATTTCTCAAATGGCCTTGTCCAGCTTCCATTTTTGGATCTGTCCATTGTAAGTCCATGGATATTAAGATGAAAATATAAAGTAAGTTAGCTAACATTGTAGACTCTGATCATACTGACTGGCTCTAGTCTTACCACTTTTGGTTCTAGCAGTGTAAGGGTTAAAGTTATATAAAGTTAATGAATATATTCAATTTCAATCTCTGCAGAATTTTTTTTTAATGTTTGAAAAAGTCAGAATGGAAGGTCACTTTATTCTGGGACCTAAAATATACGTCTCAGCTTTATTTTCATAAAATTATACATGTATCAGTTTAAAGCCTACCAATAATTCTAAAATTATTTCATAAATTCATAATGCTATGATTTTTTTTCGCCTCATAAATATTGTTTTAAAAATTTTTGAACTGTTGGGAAAACTTATTTTTGTTTTTACATTTTTACAAATTTAGAAGAAGTATAGAATTGTCTATGTATTTTCTGTCTTGGTTTGGAGATCATATACACTACCTTACTTTGCCAAGGGAGATAAGTAGTCAAGACCTATCTTATTATACAAACTTTTCAACATTACACAATGTGAAAATATTATTGATAATAACATTATTATTGGTAACTTATTAGGTATTTCAATTTTTGACTTACATCTACATATTTAACAAAGAATGATCATCAGGGATGTCTAATATTGATCAGCAGCATCAGAATAGTCTCCAAGTGTTTTTGTTATCATATTGTGTCAAAAATGCACCCATTGCATAGTTCTTATAGTCCAAATATTTCATAATAAAAATTTGCTGTAATTTGAAAATTGGAAAGTATATTATATCTCAATGTTTAGAATTGTTATACCATTTCTTTGAGCAGGTAACTATTTTTGTGTCGCCTCTATGGAGTAGTGGCGACATATAGGGATCACTTCTCCGTCGTCTGTCCGTCACAAAACTTGTCCGGACTACTTCTCATAAACTACTGGAGCAATTTCATCCAAACTTTACAGGAATGATCAGTACCAAGTCTAGTTGTGCATATTGTCAGCATTTTCCGGTTCAAGGATTTTTGTCAGAGTTATGGCCCTTTAATAATGTTTATTTTTAAAGTTTGTCCGGACTACTTCTCTTATACCACTAATGCAATGTCAATGAAACTTTACAGGATTGATCTGTAGCTCAAGTCCTTGCACATATTGCACGGATTTTCCGGTTGAATGATTTTTGGCCGAGTTATGGCCCTTTGATAAAATGGTGTTTTTTAGCTCGACTATTCGATAAGAATAAGTAGAGCTATTGCAGTCACCCGAGCGTCGGCGTCGGCGTAACCACTTATGTTAAAGTTTTTGTAATAGTTCAAATATTTTCAAAGTCCATTGACATATGGCTTTGAAACTTTGCACACTTGTTCACCATCATGACCCCAACCTGTAGACAGGAGGAGGTAACACTATCAAGCATTTTGACAGAATTATGCCCCTTTTTCGACTTAGAATTTACGTTAAAGTTTTTGTAATAGTTCAAATATTTTCAAAGTCCATTGACATATGGCTTTGGAACTTTGCACACTTGTTCACCATCATGACCCCAACCTGTAGACAAGAGGAGGTAACTCTATCAAGCATTTTGACAGAATTATGCCCCTTTTTCGACTTAGAATTTACGTTAAAGTTTTTGTAATAGTTCAAATATTTTCAAAGTCCATTGACATATGGCTTTGAAACTTTACACACTTGTTCAACATCATGACCCCAACATGTAAACAGGAGGAGGTAACTCTATCAAGCATTTTGACAGAATTATGCCCCTTTTTCGACTTAGAATTTACGTTAAAGTTTTTGTAATAGTTCAAATATTTTCAAAGTCCATTGACATATGGCTTTGAAACTTTGCACACTTGTTCACCATCATGACCCCAACCTGTAAACAGGAGGAGGTAACTCTATCAAGCATTTTGACAGAATTATGCCCCTTTTTCGACTTAG